CTACTATTTGGATCTCAACTTGGACTTTCCACTTTTTAAAAGCGACAAATACATGAGACTTGCGTGAAAAAAAGTAAATCCATCCATACCTTGAATAGTCACTAATAAATGTAACAAAATAGTCATAACTAGAATGTGATATACACTCCACACACCAAAGTGAACATGCTCAAGAACTATCTTAGAACTATGAACGTCGGTTTCAAAAGCACATCGTGTGCGCTTTTCAAATACTAAGTACTCATAGATTCAAGCTTACAAGATCTAGATCTAAATAATAATTTTTGTTTGTGTAAAATATTGATATCATTTTAAATTGTGTGACCAAGACGAGCATGTCACGATCTAGTCTCATACTCCAATGGTAACATAACATTGAACTCACAAAGAATTGTAGATCCTTTCAAGATATACAGATTTTTCCGCTTGTGAGTTTTCATTATCACGTTGGAACCTTCTTCAACAGTGAAAACTTCATCAACAGTTTTTTATGAAAATTTTTCATGTTAATCTCTTTGAGAGAAATTAATATTTACGCATACTGGAAAATGTGCCAAACTTTCATCAATGTTAGTACTTTTTCATCAAAAATTTGAATCCAAAAGTATTTATTACTATCAATTTTACAGTATTGATCATTTTCCATTAAAATTGAACCTTGAGATGGTGCATAAATAGTATAAAATTCTTGTATAAAACACATTTGATAAGAGCAAGCAGAGTTCAAAGTTTATTCATCTCTTTTTATGAGGAAAAATGGTCACAAAAACATAATTTTCATCATTGTTGATCACAACATTGGCGAATGGATTAACATATTACTTTCTTTCTTTTTGCAGCTTACTACAACAATACTTTTTCATGTGGTTCAACTTGCCACACTTCCAACATTTCATCTCCTTCTTGTTGCCTTACAATGACTTGAATCACTTTGCGACTTGCTCACACTACTAGATTGCTTTTCTAATCTCCCGTAGGTGATACAGAGGGTGTAGTAGAAGAAGAAAAAGTTGTTAAAGAAGAAATGAGCTTTTGTTGGATATCATCCGTTAACAAAGCTATCACTACCTAGTTGTAAGTGAGGCTTTCTTTGTCTCGATGAAGCAACACACGAGATAGAGTGTGATATGAAACTGGCAAGGAGCTTAAAAACTACAATGTTTTTTTCTCATCTACTAAATTCTCACCCAGGTTCAAAAGATCCACCAATAAATCATCATCAATTTGATGATAGATTTTTGTACTTTTGAACATTTTGAAACTCGTCAATTTTAACCATGTAAAAGCCGATTTGACAACTCTTTCATGTGATACTTTGTTTAAAGTGATTGAAACATAGCCGACCCAATTTTCAATTTTTGGACTTGTTTCAACACATTCGGCTTCAAATAAAAAGTCATAATACTCACAATTCAATCTTGAATCTCATTCCAATACTTGTCGAATTCCTCGAACCCATTGTCTTCATCACATTCTTTACTTGTTGTTCCCATAGGAGATAGTCGGTACGACCATCAAAACGTTCAATTTCAAACCTCGATCCACCAACCTTAAATAACTCCATAGATTTAATTCATTGATTTGCAATTTGAAGACGTTCCAGATGGACTTCAACAATATTCTCAAAAAAGTAACCTCTATTTATTTTATTGATAAAAGTCTTGTAAAACGTCATAATCTTTTAATAGTTTTAAATTAAATCCTTAAATATTATCTTAGATGATCACCAAAAAACTATCATATTCAATATCATTAATTCTTCTTCTACTATTCTTATCTTAGATTTCTCTTAGTTACAGATGATTAATTCAAATATAGATTATAAATGTACTCATTCTTGTCATCACCAATTGTATACAATCTTTTAATTATTCAAACTTCTTCCAGTATTTTCAATTTGGGTGTTATTTTGAGTCTTTTGTATCATAAACCTCCTCAATTCTGGTCTATTTTGTTCTTACTTTGGAATATTTTTCCAATCTAATTTTTTTTTAATTATAGAGTTGCGGTCCTCAACAACTAGACTGTAAAAGTGTTGTGTTTAGAACAAGTTATAAATGAAAAATTCAAACACTCAATGCGCCAAAGTGTGTAATTGCGGCAGTGCCAAAATGATTAATTGCCAAAACGTCCAAATTGCGGAAGTTTGGAACTTCAATAAAACTAAAAGTAAAATTGTCAAAGGATCACAGAACCAAGTGTGTAGGTGCCAACCAATTAGAATGCAAAAAGCTTGATGAAGTAAAGTGTTGAATTAGTTTAAGTGTCAACTCCAAAGTGCTGACATAGCCAACCCGACAAATAATCAAAGCGCCAAAATATTCAGACTGCCTAATTCTTAAAGCCAGAATGACTTACAGCCAAAATTACAAAACTGACCGTTCCAAATTATTTAAAAGAAGACACTCATAAAAATAAAGACTCTACAACCAAAAAAAGGATGACAATAAGGGACATGAATAAAAAATATTGGCGATGACAAAATAAGTATAGAGTAAAAGAAGGAGGTTGAGGAAACAAGGATGAAGTAACAAAACAGTTGCCGAAAGTGTTGAGAATGTATAAAAGATTCAAGACAATTGGTAGGAAAGAAGCTACGCTAAAAAGTATAGAGTAAGGAAAGTAAGTTCATCAACGAAAGTGGAGATTCGAGGTTGCGTGAGGGGAACAAGGCTCAAGAAAGACGATTTGAAAATTTTTTTAAATACGATTATGAACTCAAAAACTCGATGAGATGAGCTATGCGTGAGATAAATACAAATAATTGAAGGATTTGCCAATTATTTATTACATCTTAAAGCTGAAAAGTAATGTTAGGAGCTAGTAATATGTTTTGATTTACTTTAAGAATATTGTGAGAGTTTTGAAACATCATAGTTCATCATAAATAACTTTCTTTTTACTGTATAGGCTTTGTGAAAATAATGTCTTTTGATATACCTATAATATGGATCATATATAAACCCATGGAGTTTCAGAAGGACCGAGAGGTCGGACAATGGCTTTACGATTGTCGCACACGAAGACTCGACAATCAAGAAATGACTGAGAAATGAAGTCACCCAGTGTTTCTTTAGTCGCGAGCTCCAACCGTTAAAGCGCTGTCCCTCTGGATTTATGAAAAAGAATTCTCTTGTAAAATAAAATTTTAACCTAGGTGGGTTAGTATTCATTGCAAGATTGAAACCTAAACTTTCAACCGTTTTAATTAATTGTTACATAGTAGCTATTATGAAAAAATTAAGACTTTCTATTTTAATTGTACTAAAAAATGAAATTTTAATGGATCTGTGTCTGTACGAATACACTTATCAAAGTCATCTTTACTTAAACCTTAAATTCATTCAATTTTCTTATAAACAAGTGACAAGAAACCTTCTAAATTTATTTCTCTCCTCACCATACTTCATTCAACTGTTTTAATGTGCAATTATCACGTAAATTTCGTGAGATCCGGTGACTAAACAATCATTTTTCTACACATTTCACAATCCAATGTATTGAGTGCAACTTCGCATTCAATTGTAAATAAAATGCACATTGAACTTGTCTTGTCGTATGACAGTATATGTCCATTTTCCTCTCTCTTGTCAATGAACTTAAATCTGAAATCATATTCATCCTCTCTCTTTGTTCTGTCTCTTCAATGTATGAATTTTTCCAAATGCGCTTACATCTTTTCACTCTGATCTCTTATTAACCATCTTGTCATCACAGCTTTTTGTGTTTGTAGTGAAATGTATCTCCAACTTACACACTCTATCATAACCTATAAAACACATTAAGTGTTGACATCATATATATATATATATACACATTGTACACTAAAATTCAATCAAATATCAATAATGTCTATCTTGAGTGATTTTTTAATTTATTTTAACTTTAACTTGCCAAAGAAGTGCTTTTGATGAATATTAATGAGAAATTACATGCAAAGGAGGGCAAAAAGTAAGTCTACTACATGTAGAAAGCTTAAACAATTAAATGAAAATTGGCATTCTAAGGAGAGATATCCAATCGAGTTCATCATGTTTACTGCCTCCTAGTGAGAGAAAATCTTTGATAAAAATCTCCACCAGATGAACATGTGATCTTTCATGTCCCATCTCTACATATTTTCAGGCACACGGAAGTGGAGAAGGCTGCCAGAACTTCCAACAACATATGGGGATTGCATCTCTGATGCCTCCAACCTCGAGGCCGAATTCTTTTTACATCTGTGGAAAAGACCAGTGTCTTCTCAATCAATGTGCCTTGCGAGTTCAAACGGCGGGATGTGACTGGGGCTTGCAGGACTCAATGTGACAGTGAGGCGCACGAAATGTCTCAAAAGTCATGCCGTGTGTGTCCTTCAGGTGAAGCGCATGTGTGTCAAATAAGAGAAAATGACGAAAAGAACTGAAGGGAAGAGACACAAGTAAAGTAGGTGATTATTTGGATCGTACAATTTTCCAAAGCAGGTGCGAGTGAGGAGTCTCACATCTGCGTGGCAGCATACCCAAGTTCTCGCCTAACAATTCAAAGCCGTCAGCAGTCAACCCTTGCACAACGAACTCCGAACAATCTGAATTTAACACTCGGCCGCAGGCACAAAATTCGCCATCTTTCTGACATGCATATTTGAGACCTCGACTTTCCAGAGAAAATATTCGGTTGATTGATGAACATCAACTGAAGATTTGCAGCTGAGAATAGAGAGAAGGAATTTCTACTCTTGAAGCATGTCTGTGTGCTGCCGAGACCATGAAAACAATACAAACTGCAATAGGTCGATGGCCGAAATCCGCTTTGAAAAACATTTCATTTCTGCTTGGGCCATTTCATTCAGGATAATCTTCACAACACACGTGCAGAGGTCACGTTTGCTACTGGACTCAGGTGAAGCCTGACTGGTGTCCAAGAAACAATCTGACTTGTGTACCTAACACAGATACTTGTGAGCATTGTGCGTCCATTCACTCAACGGCACCATTTACAAGACCGTCCAACATGATCTCAAAATATGCCAATTTATTAGACGGGATTCAAGAGAGTGTAAAACATGTACAAGGAGAAAGAGAGGGAAAACTCAGATGAAGTATCATGATCACAGTGTACGGAGCTTCAGTCGATGAAGCGTTCTCGAACGGCATGATATTCCCTTATTACCTGTTGTGAAATCTAGATTTCTGTCTGTCCGCACTTAAAATTGTAAAACGGGAAGTGTGAAAGTCAATCACGCGAAAGTAACCCTGCAACTCAGGGGATACACAGAGTTGTACGTGGCAGACCTTGCAAAGTTCTGGAATTCTAAGTTGCAAAGAGATGTGTAGTTGACCGGGTTATCAGTAAATTTTCCAGCGAGGGCCCATAAGGCGATTTGCCTGTAAAACGCTTCGGTAAAATGTACACCATCCCAGTTGACATACTCGTCCGGGTTTGCACACTTGTTGGACCCTGCATTACCACAATTGACGGCCGGGTTGTAGTTCAGGGTTCCAAATCCAGGCGCTCCGCAGCACGCACGCATAGTCAAAGCTGGGTTGAATCCTGTAATTAAAATGCAGAAGAAGCCAAGAGAAAGTGAGACTTTAAGTTGTTCACGCATTCAAAGAAGAAGTACTATGTATGGACTTCAACTTGTGATCCTGTCACTTCAAGGTGGGAGTGAGTTCAGAATGTACCGTAAAGAGATGGATTTGTCAAAATTTCCAAGTTGGCAGCGTAGTAATTGAAGATGGAGAATGTTCTGCCAGGATATAAAAGTCGAGCAGACGCAATTGTATCATTAAGAGCGCTGTTGTAGGCTTGATCCAGCTGATTGATTAACACAATACAGCCCATGGCGTCCTTCTGTATCCCAGGAATGGATCCCAGAACAGTGATAGCTATGGTGCTGCAGCCTGCATTAGGAGCGTTGAAGAAGAGAAACTTTTTGGCACCATTCGAAGTTAAGATCTGTACAACAAGAGAATAAATGAGATAATTTGAATGATCATCTCAACTTTCAGTAGTCAAAAGGGACACAGGATTTCAGTTCACATCTAATAATTGTAGGTTTCATGATGATATACTTAGTGCAAGCTTGTATTCAAGTACACAAATAACAGGATATATAATTAGAAGAATATACTTGAACTAAGCTTGCTAGATAAGTGCTAAAAGCTTAGAGATATCGTTTGTCCACGTTCCACTGGTTCCTTGGTTCTTCTTCGATATCTGAGTATTAATAATGATCTTCCTTCATCCAGATGCCACTTCTTCGTATCTGATTAGAAGCAAGATGAGGTTGAGCAAAGTCGGCGCAGTTTCTCTTCATCACATAATGATGTGTTTACCTTGATACTGTCGAGGATGTTTATCATGGCCTCAGGGATCACTTGAGTTATGACTTGCGCTGCTGTCTGGTTTTTGAGTAAGATGGCATTGAGAATGTCGTTTCCTCCAATTTCAAAGGTGTACAATCCTTCGTCGTAGGAATCATCTAGAGGCAGAAATTGCCTGAACGGCAGGCACGCTGGATATACAATCAGAGGACAACTCGATGGTATCAGTCTATGGAACTCAAGGATCGTAAAGCTCAACCCACATGCGATGTTCATTGACAGTTAAAGATATATTCGGATGAAATTATTAGAATGGACGGTACGGTGGGGAAGACAAAATACGGCAGAAGCTTCGTTACACCTATCCATCATCCCACCTAGCTCCGGTCATTGTATAAAAGGAAGGAGAGAGAGAAAATAGAATAAGACATACTAAATTGGCTCTTCTGAGAAATTGCACTCTGCTTGAGTCTGACATATTCGGTAACTTGAAACTTCAGGAAGATAGAGTTCCTCGAAGTGTCGTTGGAAGCAGTTGTTCCGGCGGATGCGAAGTTTGCTCCATAGTTGTAATCGAATGCACCAGCCTGGAGATATGGTTGCAGAAGCGGATATTCGAACGCCAGAGCTGTAACACCAGTATAAAGTTTCACAAGAGTCAGCCAAGAGCACACCAGCATCGATAAGGGAAAGGCTCATCTACCATATTTAGCAGATATTAGAATCTGAGATTCGGAACCATCGATGGTACGTCGCTGTGTACCATCAGGACATGCATAAGACTATAGGCACTGGTATCTCAGAATCTTCAGCTTTCGTCCTGGCTCAACCATCCCTATGACCGTATTATTGGCTTTGGCATGGGCTGGCCACTACTCTGAAATCGTTGAGATACATTTCTGGTGATCTGATTTCTGCGTGTTGAGAGTGGTGCTCTGCCTGGAAATGGGCGACCGATCTTAGCAGAAGCTAATGTCCATAAGACAACCAGAAAGATCGGATCTGTCAATTTGATCTACGAGTAATTGGGAAAGTGAACACAGGGACTGATCGTACAGAAGAAGTCCGGCACGACACGTCCATTGGAGAAACGTTTAGCTGGCCGCCCGAAGAACGAATCTCCATAGGGGCTGCGCTCGGGGTCCAAGGACAAAGCGAAGACGTTCAGTACGCCCCCGGTGTCCGTCAGCGAGTCTCCGAAATTCCAGAATGCAGTGGGACACGCAGGGTTTCTATTATTAAATGGAGGAAAGAACAGGCTGAGAGCAGGAGCTGCATTAAGTGCGGCGATCATAAACAAGACAACTGCAAGTTTGTGCCCAGAAGGGCACTCAAGGGAGCGAGGTCCAGACGAAGTACTCATTGTGAGGTTAACGAGAAGGCCCGTTGCTCGTACAGAATATGCAGGCAGTTCAGGTTGGCTTGTTATTATACTTGTGCCTACAGCTTTTATAGCTCCGCGCTATTACCTGAGGGCCAAGTCTGTAGCACTTCGAGTTCTGAGTCAGGACAAAACTGAAGGTTGGGGAGGCTTATCCTGCAACTATTAAAGTTGCAGTTCTACAGAGATAGGAATTATCCCAAGAAACAAGTTGTTTTTAACTGCATGGAATCTACAACAAACTCAAAATAAGACTGATCAATCAACCTGCAGAATCAATGTGGTTTCAACAATCGATACCGCTAGTTCATGGAGAACTGAACATGAATAAATTTTGACAAGCTCAATGTAGGACGTCACTCTCATCTGGAATTTCACTTAGTTTTATTTGTGATGATCCTGTTCTGTTTGAGGAGTCGATCTGACTAGACGAGTAGCTAGAAGTCATAGGAATTAGCCTCCATGAAAATATACCTGCCCAAAAGAACTATGTGGACAATTCCTGCGGTCTGGTCCTCTATCGAAGGTCGATCGGAGCATGATGATTTAGCATGTACACGTCTTAACGCTGAGATTAGATATTTCTAAGGACGTACGACGTGCATGCCTTCAAGTTCGGCTATATAACGAAGAAATTCTAGCATGACTCGATGCTCAGCCGCCAGCCCTATGGTCCACAGCACTTGTCTCTGAGTGAGACCAATGTAAAGCTCATAGGATGTGAAGGAACTCGTTCTGAGTTTGTAAGAGGCAATCTGATATTTCACAAATATGAAGGAAATTAGAGTCATTGTAGTTGTTCTGCCCATCTCTCCTGAATACCGTATGTTCATGGCGTGCTTATTTGAATGATATGATTAATTGTTGAAGGTCAACAAGTTGGTCTCCATCTGCTCTCTTGTGTCAACGCGTTGACCTCATTCGAAAATAATTTCACAGACTAGGAACAAGAATCAATTGTCAACAGTTTTGAAGTTCAAAGTCTATGGTCCGCAATTTCGGCACGAAGTAGATGTGTCCGGGTACCTGACTTGAGGCTGAACAAGTATTCTCAAGCTTTACTTCAACCTGTAAAGTTTAAACTATTGGTTTAAACTTTAAACCAATGGTTTGGTCGAAAAAGACACTGCAAAAGAATGCTTTCTCCTCATCTATGCTCCCTTAAAGTGCCCTTCAAGTGATGTCTTAAGGAGCACTTTCAGGTTCCGATCCTCTTCCAAGGAATCTCCATCTGAAGCTAAAGTTGAAGCCAATGGCACGAACAAACTTAGCAGTTATCGAACTTACTCTGGTCTGTAACAGATGGAGAGGACTGCCAGAAGACGGACCTGCGCATGCGACTTCAGTGACCAAATCAGACCCAGAACTGTAGACAATTGGGATTCTGTACTGAAAGTCTGGGGGTTTGACTTTGTGCAGTAAACCACAGTGACATGCGAGTGCCAGAGCAATGATCATGTCATGATCTTATGAGGAATATCAGGGTCACCTCACCTTTCAGATTTTTTAGACTACTCCCTATCGATAAAAGCCAAGCAGATGCTCCACGGCTAAATAAACTACAATCCAGGTCTTCCGATTTGCAACTGCCTTACAACGGCACCAAATTTTATATATTTTATATATAATAAAAAATTGGACTTTCCTGCCAGTTGCTCATGAATGCTGGAAACATGGGAAAGAAGAAAGTTACACCCCACGTCTGACGTTGGCCCATAAAGCATAAACGCAATCTCCGGTTCTAACATAAGCTTTGATTTGATTTTCTTCTTTCTCTAGGTCGTTGTGAAGCCCCGTCATCAAATTTTTGCATATGGTCTTAACTACCTTCAACAGGCAATCTCTCTAAGCTAATTACGCAAGCTAGTTACGCAACCACATGTTGAATCCAATGCTGGTCATTGCGTTAATATGAACTTTTTTCTAATGCATAGATCATCTAGTGCATTTTTCACTAAAACCAGAGAGTCTAACGAAATCGAGATCCTACTTTCAGTACATCTTGAAGTCCCATGATTTGACAACGAATGATCGGCTTAATATTCAATTACGTACATAGCAATGGAACTTCCAGATAAAGATCCAGACAGTGAAGTAATAAAATTCAAGTGCGGCGATCCGTCCTCGACTTTATGCAGGCGCATATGTCTTTAGACCATGTCCAAACCACTTGAAGACGTATGTTAGTCGGAGATGAAGGTTGATAAATTGAGCTACAAGTTGAGAAAGGGAAGAATTTTGAACCTCCTGAGAATAAATGATACGTGCCTTTTACTCCCATACAGGGCACGTTCAAAGCTTGGGAGGAGGATTCACAACTGCTCTGGCTGGCGTCTCACAGGGCGCCTCATTTATCAGTCTCTAAATCGGTTGAAACAGTTGCCACTCTTGATTGTTTCAATTCTTCCAAGTGCCGAGAATGCGTGATATTAAGTCAAGATCCCGGAGTTTTAAAGCTTTCATTGCAAGGATGACGGGCTTTGTGATCCTTTATGATTTGTGCTACTGCCCTGAAACTTCCCACCTTTCTGGTGTAACGCATGAATCCATTATTGAGGACCTTTGCAGAGCGACAATAGGGAAAGTCAGACCAGCCTTATACAACGTTATCAGTCTTCCAAGGTCATCGGCCAGATATAGACACAACGTTATTTCAAGCATTAAAAACGCTTGTCCATGTGGAGAACTAGAATAAATTTACCTTCATGTCCGATAAGATTATACATGCTTGTATTTACTGTCTGCAATAGAGATTTGTACATTTGAAACGAAGTCAGTTGCATGGCGGAGAGCTATGTAATGAAATGTTACTGAACCATTTTCAGACAAAACAGAAATGAGGTCAGATGCAAAATTCTTCTGCGAGTACTTGATTGATTGAGTTTTCTGCGAAGACTATTATTTCAAACCTTCTAGACGAAGATGTTAAGTAGATTTCATACTGCATTTTTCCTGATTCAAAGGTGTATTTCGGCTCCTTGATTTTGAAACTTGCACTGCCAGACAATGCATGTTTTGTTATTCTCTAAACTATCAGATTGCTGGTAAGCAGCCCTGGCAAATCTGCCAGGGCTGCTTCTCTTTTAATTTCGTCCCGCGAAAAAGCAAGCAAGTGAGGACACACTCTTTCTCTGTCATTGTGATATCTCCTATCACTTGTCCCCTTGACGTCAAGCTCAAAACAGCAGGTCAAACTGCTTGAGAATCAGTCCGATAGTTCCAGAAATGGAACCCAAAATGGAAATCTCATTTTTTTTCCAATTAGATATAGAGCTTGAAATCCATGTGCTCATAAACACTGTATTCATGACTTAGTGTTATGTTCGCTCTTGAGGTTCGAATTTGTTAATAGAAAGTTTGGCCTTTTCAGGTAACGCAATATCGTTATATGCAAGGAAACAAACAATCTGTGAATTTCTTAAATACAAGAACACAACATTTGAAGAATACCAAGTTCAATTTGAATAAAAGCAACTTGAGGGTGGAGCGCAGCTCTGTCATTAAAACTTCCACCATTTCTGGTTTGAACTTCAAAGCAAGTCAAGAACTTCATATTTCCCCCAGGTAAAAAAATTGTAGGGAGCGCAGGATATCAAACAATTTGTCCGTACATTGCGTACAATTCACTTTGGAATCGCAACACAAAATGTGCATTTTAACCACGAAGGCACATCTAGAGCACTCGAGCTTTCAGATATTTATGTACTTGCTGAACTACGAGCTCAATATGAAGGCAAGTTTCTCCATCTTTGGAGTTCTAATCTGACTGGAGAGCTTGCAAATTCACAATTGAACGTTGCCGCAATTCGAGAGTTATATTCAGGTCATGTCATTTAACTTTAGTGTTGGCACAAATTTTCTAGACGACAGTTTGGACCTGGAGGCAGAGAAGGTTAACGTTGAAACCCACACGAGAAAATGGATATATTATAACGTGGATTTCACTTTTCATTGCTATGTACAATGACTTATAAAAGATAATCCTATTGTAAGCCATCTAGAACACTCAGATCAAGAACTGAAGGTAAAGAGTATTTCACTTCCAAAGCATGCTAGTAATATTGAAATTTGAGTTTCAGATTCATAACTTGTGGGAAATGGCAGATTAAATTTTCGTAAATTCTCGAACATGACAGATATGTAGTCTTCTAGAATTGTATATGGACTGTTCTAGTCTGTGAACTGTTCATCTAACGATAACATCAAATCAAATCAAGTGGATAAGTTTTTGTCCTCTTCATTTGTACACATTTATCAAATGACTTAAATTACAATAAGATGAATCTATGTTAAGTTATATTTTATATGATTTTAGTTAGACGTGAATGATTACTTAGGCATTAGAATACGTATAAGCCACCTCAATCAAAATATGTATATACTCAAATGATCATCTCAATACCGATTACTTCAAAGACTAGTAAGAAATCATCGACAATTACTTTTCTGAAAGTTTTTATAAAACCAGGTCGTTTTGAACACGTACTTACCTGACAGTTGACTTGCTAGAAAACACCTAACATGAAGGGATGAAGGCAGAACTTGTGAACCTCATAGCAAGAGTGTAAAGGAGTGGTGTATCGCAGACAATTCAAGAGCTTTCAGACAAGAACATGATATCTGAGCTTGACCTGGATCAGATCACATTACACCTTGCAATTTGTAGAGGAGACAGTTTCGCTTCTCATCATACTTCGGAGTAGCTGCTTCATGTACAATATTCAAAAGCTGAGTGCCTCAAGTTCACTTTGCCTGTTTGGTACTCTACGACTTGACCATACCGCAAAGATGTGATTCAAAATGACTTCTCCGATCGAAACCTGAACGTAAAGTAGTAAAAGGTCACACACCCTCTACCTCATGATTCAAGTGAATATCCAAAGGGAGTACAAGCCACATCAGAAGACATAGAATACACTCTTACTATCTAGAAGGCAGGCTGACGAAGGTGCTGAGTTCTAGATAGTGTCAGTTTAGACATTTTCCTATTTCTTACACTTACTCTCAGCATAATGTTTATGGCTCGGAAATTTTCTTGCTAATATCCCGTCAGTCTGAACACTTCGATTGTGGTGATCAGAAGTTTGGATTCATCATTATTAAAAGAGAGTCTCGTCTGTGAATGTGTTTGTTCGTAGACATAAACGGATTAAACGTGAGACCACTTCCTCAGATTTGTTAAAGATGAACAACTCTTTGAGCTTTCTGGATACGGGAGAGGAAACCTAAACTTGTACTTCTCGCTCTGTCCCTCTCTATTCCATGAAATCTACGACTATCAGAGCAAAAAGTGATTTTTCATGAGCCAGAAAAGCAATGTGTTGTGTCTCTCACGTAGCTGAAGTGCACGCATTGTCGGCACAAAGGTGTTTACAGATACAAGTGTGGTACAAAGGTGGTGACTTGTACTTAAATGTCTCTCTATCTCCAATAGCTGTGGAGTATCACAGAGCTCAACCAACAAAGAAACTAACGTTCATGAATGAGACGATCATCACGGTCAACAGGTGAGATCAATCTTTTATTCAGATCTTGTAATCAGAACTTGATGTCTTGTGCTATTATTTTTAAATTATCTTTTTGAAAATGAAAAGCAAACTGATCCTTGTCTTTTGTCTCATCAATTTTCAAACCGAAAATTAATCTGATACTAAGCTCAGTTACTAGTTAGTGATGTCTTGCTCCGCTTCTCTTTCTCTGTCCAGAAGAGATTATACTATATATGCGGGCAAACTTGCATTTCATAAGTTTGCAACAGACTAATCGGGGATGAACTACTGGAAAGAATGTTGTGTTGACGGGTTTTGGTAGACTAGCGTCTCAAACTGTCGTGGGGATGAACTACTGGAAAGAATGTTGTGTTGACGGGTTTTGGTAGACTAGCGTCTCAAACTGTCGTTGGGAATGCGCGTAGTATATTCCACATCTGAATGTTATCTGGCTGAGATTTAGAAGAAAAGTTGTAGCGTATGGTTGACCTGCACCTGTAAGATGCTGTGATCTTCGCTGACTTGACCTCTTGAATGTGCTGCTGGTAAGTAGTCCTTAGGAAGCATGTAATCTTCTTTCGTTCTATGCTAATCACGGATCAAAAACTCCCTACGCACATGGGTCCATTTAAATAATTCACTGCCTACAGTTCCTGTGCCTGATCAGATTGTGAAATCAGGTCAAGTGAATGCTCCACATGTCAATCTAGAAGGATTCACTTCCCCACTTGCAAAATTGCTCTTTCAGCTACAGCTGTGAAGAGACGCAGTTTCATACCTTCTTCCTCTAGTGAGCTCCGTTTCCATTGTCCGCTCAGGAGGAGAATCGGTGAAAGAGGATTGCCATCTCAACGAAGACACTGTAAGTAGACATTTAAAACAGTGAAATTCGTACTCAAGCATGGAGCGTCATTGCCTGACTTTGTCTGGCCTCAGAGCTCAGGTCCAGGTGGTTTTTTTTAGGCATACCAAGACAATTTGATTTCCGGATGGACCTCTCCAATCGCTTCTTCCTTCACATCTTCTTACTCTATCCATGAGCGAGGTCTTACGAGCATTTCCAATTGCAAGACTCGCCAGAAAGAGTTTTTGGTGGGATTGGGTTTTTTCCTGACAAATATACGTCTGAGCACAAGTTGTCATGTCTAAGTGAACATAAGTTAATTTCCTTTCCAGCGCTGTACACAAACTTGACTCAAATCTTGACATGAAACTTCACGTGATGCACTTCAAGGTCTTCTTCTAACGGTCTGTAGTGTGTTGTCCATTTGCAAAACGTCGACCCATTAGAAACACTGGATGATCACCGTTTGTGGACACATGACGAGAGAGGATCTTGAAGACGAGCATGCCATGATCCCGACTCCAACAATTTCTGTAAGTGTTGTCAGTTTCCGCAGTGAAGATGACAAATTGGTCAAATGTTGTTTCATTTCGCACACTTCCGATCCGGTCACCTGAGAACTAAAAACGAGTTTCGTTGCCTATCAAGTTGTAGACATGAAAGGCAAATCTAGCTAGCTTCAGGTTCAGTCAAGAAGACTCAAAATATTTCATGTCTTCACCAGAATAAAGAAATAACAGAGGTTTCTTTATTACTGGGGCAAAGTGGATCCATGTGCGACAGTCCTGAGTATGGACATTGTTACTTGCGCATGATCTTAACAACTGCTAATACGACTGCATAGATGCGCTTCAACAGAAAAGTTGCACCTATATTGACCTCTACAGCCATATCTACCTTCAACATCATCTTCTCAAGATACAATAAACTTTCAGAATACACATTTGCAAGTACAAGTTGCAGCTGGTTTTGCTGTGGAAACTGTGTCTTTGATTGGTGGATCGACTAAGCGCTCTTGGCAAAGGCACTTCTGTCCGTAAGGACAGAAATAATTAGGACATGGACACTGAACTCTTATCGCCGAGCATTTGCACTTACAGGTCTGGCCTGTCTTGGGATCGGGAGTGAGGCTTTCAACACAAATACACTCCTCGCCTCGGTTACACTCGTATCCTCTGCATGGACAAAGAATTTTCGCTGGTTTGACATCAGTCTGAGCTGCTCCAAGCTCAAAATCCAACGCTGCAACGAACAGCACAGCAGTCATTACACATAACACTCTTCCTCCAATGAGAGCCATTGCAATTGCAGCTAGTACTGATACTGTGGTTTGCTCTGAGGTACTTCAACTTGTATATCTACAAGAGTAAGGCTCACTTTTATATCGTCAGATCCCCACCTGTGGCCAAGTTGACGTAGCTTGCATTGACTTTTGATATCTCAATTCGCCACTGTTCAAAAGATCGTGAATTTGATAATCATATAGACGTGAAACCACGTCTCAAGTTATCTTCATTTGAACCAAATTATTGCTACACTGAATGCTGACGTCGTGAATAAGCTGAAAGGCTAATCAGTGGACTGTCGAGAATTTCCACTCTCATCACCTGTGACTCATTAAGTGTCGCTTCTATTTGGACTTGCAACTTGGCATCACAATTCTTGAAATCAAGGGAAGGCCCTCATCTCTACGTTGAGGATAGCGAAGCTAGCTCAGACCGTGGTGCGACTGGTAATATTCGGCATGTAATTGTAGCTGGGAGCTGTAGATGATTGAAATAGGCACGGCATACACTCCAATATGAGAATTTACCGCTTGCTAGAGGAATGGTGAGCTCCGTGTACCTGCTCAGCGTTTTGTAAAGAGACAATCAACCTCCAGCGATCTTCAGGGAAGAGGAGACAAGGCAGGAGTGTTTCCCATTTCTCCCAGTTTCAGTTTCACACCCAACTCCGACAGGGATGCTCCAAGTAACCGCCACAATGTCGATACTCAGACATGTACTAGACATTTTGATTATTTATTGATATTTTATCTAGTTTATATCAATATACATGAACTCTTTGTTTACTAAGATTTCAGCTATTTTCTCATATTTTGCATTTGATCAACTTCCATTATTTATAATTTTTAGATTATTATCGTATCTTAATTTTAAAATATCCATTAAATATGAGAATTATTTATAAACATAACGTTGCTGAAAAGAAAATCAAAGATCCAAGAAATTGTAATTAGAAAAAAATTCGTTGCTAAAATTTTCTTCTTTGCTTTAAATGAAAAAATTTGCAGATTGAATTTTGTGATAATCAAAAAATTTTACCAAAAATTATTTTAATCTTTAAAAATAAACTTAAAAAAGTTTGTCTACTTTTTTTAACACTTTAATGAACATTTGACCACAGGAAAACAATTTGTATATTTAAGATATTTAAAATTACAGTTAAAATAAAAATGTGTAATAAATGTATTGTGATTATGAGACAGTTTTAATGAATAGTTTCATGCTACAATTGCTTCAGCATTTTGGTATAATTTTTCATGAATAGAAAATTCCAATTGACCTAGGATAAATTATATGGAAAACAAACATTAAAATGAAAATTATTCTATTTTTTATAATCCTCGATATTTAAAAAAAGTTTCCGTCAAGATTTACATTGAAATAGATAATATTAGATATTTTTAATCTTCTAGACTAAATTTTGTTGAAGAACCTTGCATTTCTATATTTATTGTTGATGAAACTGTATTGATTAAAGTTCTCAAATAAATGTAGTTTTTGATAAATTTATTGTCAAATTTAAATAACAAATTATCTCGAAATCGAGTTCTTTTCGATCCTGGCCGTTGTAAACGTCGCAGGAGAATACAAGCGACGTTTACAACGTGGCTTTGGAATATCGAAGCCAGCAAGAATGTACTCAGGTAATGCGCGTGCTATGAGTAATCAGGGCACCGCAGACGGCAGTCTAAAAGCCTACAGGCCTAAAGTTATGAGAGTAATCAGGCTGCTATGAGTAATGAGGGCGACGCAGAATGGCGTCTTAAGGACTTAAGAATTACGAGGGATAAACCAACCTCTTCTTACGCTTTGGAGTGTATCACCTGATCACATTCTTCGTGATTAATATCACCGTTCCCTTGGGATTCTTCTACCACATCACATGATGACCAATGCTTCGAACCCAGATATCTGCCTTCAGTCACAACCATACAGAAGACACTATACTAGTCTGCTAGGCAGAAATGTGCTCAACGTAGTCATTGGATAAACCCAACAGAAAAAAAAGAGTAAGCTTTCCACAAATCTTACGAAACGAACACACTGTCGTGACTGGTCACTTGTTACAAAAAAGTAACCAAAGAAAATGTGCACTTTATTCGTAATGAATGAAACAATCCTCCTAATAAATTATCTTTCTATTCGCTACTACCTTATAATTTTGTCACGAAGGGATAACCTTACAGTTGATCTATCAAAAGAATCGATAACCACCTTCACCTACTAAACTAGTCGCTACTTTCAGCTCTAACACAGGCAATCGTCCTAATCGGTCTCGGTGCAAAATTGTCGAACTTCCATGATTGGTTAAGCCTCGGCCATTTCGATTTCCACAGCAGGCAAGTTCCAGATGTCTTCTTCAGTTCCTGCTTTGACGACGGTCGTTCTAGAAAGTGAGGAAAGGGTGTTAAGGATTACATGCCGAGCCTCCCTTGTCGAAAAATTTCAAAAACATCATGACACACAGAAACGGCAATTTCTACTGAAAAATAGCAAATCCAAGAAGTAACGAGTCATTCGAATGTATTTAGTTGGTAGGATATTGAGTTGTCCTCCTGGAGCATGTCCCTCCTTTTGCCCTCTATGCCGACTGTGCGTGAGCTCCCTCTGAATCTCAGGAGTAACCTGCTCGAACAAACCAACGAAAAAGGTAAGCTTTCAAATGAAAACTGCCTTGCAACTGGGAAGGTATCAACATGGATAACAACAAAATTGCTATACGGACTCGAAGAACACATATCAGGGATACGCAATCAATAATAGGTACATCAATCTCAATCATGAGACCGTTTTACGAGAGACTTTTTTCTTTCGTTTTAAACGATTCACACAACAGAAATAGATTTAACAGGGATGTACCAGATAGTGCTTGTGAGCTCGCATTAATTTCTTCAACTTCTCCTTGTCCTCCTCACTCAACTCGTTTTTGTATCTGTGTGTATACAACAGTATGTAAGTAGCGATAACCGAAGGTCTTTAAAACATATAATGAGCACGGCTTACAGATTATAACTTGAAACGACGAAAAATCAGCTTCGGCAAATTCAGCTACATAAATGCTTTATCCAAGATATAGACGTTCCTAAGCTACTCTCATTGCGTTTGAAGATATCACCTTTGTACGAAAGTTAACAAGCACTGATGCCAAATGACGGGAAGTTCTCTTTCGTCATCCGTAAACTGGGCGAAATGCGCAACCATAGCGTCAAGTACACGATATGGTAGGGCATATTTCTTGTCCATCAAGAGCTTCATAAAGTAACTGCCAGAAGAAAACAGGGTACGAGGCATGATCTCAAAGCGTTTTGGTTTTCATGAATAAACTAAAACATGAATAAATGAATAGGTATGACAACATAAAACATAGAAGCTATGATCAAGGTATACCTGTTAGTGCCGCAATACTCCATCTCCGCAATCTTCATGAGGGCCACACTGAAATTAAACCACAAATATATAAAATTACCACAAAACTCTGTGAAGATCTAGTACAGAAATATTTAGTGTGCAAAACATATATTTCTACCATAAACTGATTGATTTTTCATGAGGTTCGCAGCCAACTGGTTCATCAGTACATCTACGAATGGAAATAATATTGACCTGCTTATTAGGAATTCATACCTTGAGTGAAGCACGGGGATGGATACCTTTTGAATAACACTTCCGATAATAACAGCCTCTCGCAGATTACATGTCCGAGACTAGATGAAACAGCAAATTTGTCGTTAGTCTATTAATGAAGATAAACTCATAAAATCTTTGACAATGAAGCCTAAACTCCACAGGTCCCTGGTAGCATATTACTGCACATGTTTACCTGGCAGAGCGGTAGGAGGATGCCTTTGTAGAAAGCAGATGGCTTATAAACGGCCTTTTTCAACGCTTGATACAAAGCAAAGTGGAGACGCTTGTGTTCATTGATATCCTGACGCAGCCTTGGTAGCAACACTAGATTGTAAAATCTTTGCGCCATGCGTGCGTTCAAGTTCGAGGCAAAGAGCCGAGTTGCCTGATACATCGCGTTTGTTGACCATTTCTCTGGCTCCGTGATGTACAGCACTTCCTCCCAGTTGGAGAGAGAAGGAACAATCTTGAATGCTTTTGGAACTTTTCCAGATCTAAATCTACTCAGAAGCTTACCTACGCTGCAAGTGACAACACAGTCAAGATGTAAGGGACAAAAAACACATCCACAAGCTTGTCCACGTCATCCAGTTTCCGTCCAATACTAGATAGTATGGTAAATCAACAATCTATCTGGTATGGCGGTCAGCAATATCTACGTTCAGAAAGTAGAAGTGATTCAATGCCTTTCGACTTCAATAAGACAAATGATTCAACATACCCAATAATGAATCCGAAGGACCTTACTATAATCGACTTGTACTCTACTCTTGCTGCAAAAAGCAGATGTGCAAAAGTGAAATTGAGTATCTTACCCCCTAAAGACCTCAACGATTTTTTCGTCGATTCCAGGTATGTTTCTCTCTCCTGAAAATAAACATTGAGATTGTCTGTGATGACTCAAGATAACGGATGTACTCGCATACATTTCACTACATGGTATCGTGAAGGATCCGTCAATGTGTATGTCTACCAATATGTCCATCCAGACCACGATTCAGAAGAGGAACTTGGATGCTCTTCAACAAATTTCATGGAAATACAGTACTTCCAATGCTGAACCGTGCCGTTTACAATGTGCACATCACAAGCCTACGACGTCGTGACGATCAGATTTCATATCAGAAGCAGCTTCAGAATGCAGCTTCGTACAAGCCTAGCAAGTGACTCCATGCGGATAAGTGTACAGAAATTCATCGCATGCAAAACAAACGTACACTTGTGTATGCACCTCTGAAACATATGACAAAGAGCCCTACACGACAATGTGCGATTCATATGACGAAAAGCAAAAAGATTTCAGCTTAAGTGGTGAGAGCCCAACCTTCAGGGCTACTACTGGAAATGCCTGCGTCTTTTTCTTTTATCCTTTCCATGATCATATCTGCCAAAGTGCGTTGGGGCCCAGCATCTGAAGCCATGAACATGGACATTATCCTCTCATCTTCTGCTGTTATTTCCTGCAGTAGACCCGCAATTGCTGTCAAAATCTAAATTGCATAATATTTCAAAGATTCGGTACAGGCAGATGTTAACCACACAAGAGTTGATTCAGCCCATTGTCAGGGATCAACAAAACTGACAGAACAAAGCCCTCTTTACGATGAAGTTACCTCAAATTCTTCCTCCGCGTATTCATTATCCGAATAACCTCCCTCATCGTCTTCATCGTCACTATCCTCTTTAGCAATCTGTTTCTCGACAGTGACGTCGTTGAAAGCTCTTCGGGCAGCTGCAACTCCAGTTTCCTCATCCCTTAATTCACAAAATCACACAGAGGAAATGCACGTCAGTGTTTTGTTTCGAGCCCGAACAGATCAATTCAAGGACATTTCTGCTTCACGAAGAAAAGAGGTTTATAACGAAGGAGAAAATAAGCTGAAATTGCTGCAACGGTGACAATTTTCAGTAGTTAAGCAAACCTACTTCTCATCGTCAATCTCTTGTTGCTGACGTCTAGCTTCTGCTAAAATCTTGTTGCTCATACCGGGAGTCACGTACTGCACAACAAATATAAACGCAGGTCAGAATAGTGGAAGGAGATGCCCCAATAGCCAAAGTTCTCAAATACTAAGCCCTCAACTCATGACGCTTATTGACTTCCTCGACAACTGATCGGCAATCCCAGTTAATCGGCCCATTGGGCAGTCCGAGGCTGATGTTGAAGGAGAAAATGAACACCTCTTCCTCCTCTTGCATTTTGCGAGCCTTGGCAGAACGATTCCGAGGGGGTGCCTCTTTGGTGTCGTCCATTTGCTCCGCTAGTGAGAATTTGTGCTTGTCGGAAGGACCTCCATCCTTCCTCTTCTTCTTCTGCTCCTTGGGATTCCTCTGCTTCACATCCTTCATCTTCACCTCCCCGGCCATCTCTCGCTCCCTTTACTCTTCACCTTTACCTGCACCAAAATGCTCAACTCCTCCACCAGCTTCCGCGCAGAAGTATCCTGTCTAAACCCTTGCCTCCGCCTGATCCACCTACAATCCAAGAATCCTACAATCTCCTCGACACCGGAGAGCGATTCCGAGGCGAATTTCCAAACTGCTGTGACGAAGTGCTGGAAACCTCGATGAGACGAAAGTGAGGGTGTGGAAGAGCAGGCGCGGTGTGTTTTCGGCTAGCTTCTGCCTCTGATTCCAGAGTAGGGATCTCAGACAACCGTCGAAGGTTTCCGTGCGTCCTGCAACTCTCGCAGGAGGCTCCAGACTTCCACCGGGCAGCCCAGTGGATCGCACTTTTCACTCCCTATACCAGGTGACTCCGTAGAGCGCTCTAGCAAAGCGTGGATTGACGACCGGTCATGCCCGTGAGGAGGGTGCGGTGATGACGCACGAGGTCGGAACTGTGGAGCGAGCTGCTCCTGACCGGACGTGTTCTTGAGATTCTCCCGGCCTGATGTTGTGGGGCTAAATAGGGTTAGGGTTGCAGAGCGGAGAGCCTGAAGAGCGTTTGCGTCGGTTTTGTGCGGCATTTCGCCGGAATGCGGTCACCCTGGGTTTAAGAGCTTCCATGAATTTGGGAGCCCTGAGGTTTAGGGAGTGGGTGGAAAATTGTACTGTGCATCCTCAGTCCCTCTCTGGCCTCCTCCTTCGACCTTTTGTCGAGGTCTGGGACCCTCCTGTCTCCATTCGGCCACATCAGTTACGTTTGAACTGATTTTTCTGACTCGAAGGCAGAAAATTTTGAAATCTGACCATCACATGGTAGTCGCAGGTCGAATCATTATCTGAGATGGTTTCTAATTGGACTGCGACAGTTTCTTTACGCGCTGGATTTCATGCACTTGGAAATTTTTTATAATCAGCGCGGTTTCGCTGGCTTCCGTCTTCGTTGGTTCATAATCTGGATGAAATGTGGCTGTTGAGAACTCTCGAATTCGAGTTGAATTGGACGGGATGAATATTTGGTTCGTTGATTTGAAGTGGACAGTGCCCTCTGTGTGGGAGTCAAGACGGTTCGGGCAGGTTGCCTCTGGCTGTGTAAGCATTGCAACCAGCTATATTTGTTTGGGTGGAGTCTGGGTGGTTGGAGCGAAGAATCTAGCTACATTCGGATTTCACTCCAATTCAAAAGCAGGGAATCGTTTGAGGACACCAGGCGCTTTTGCTTGTGCATACCATGGTTACCGTGGAAGACAATTATAGAAGTGAGTAGGAAATTTTATCAGGCCGTTCAGTTATGGGAGCACTCACAGCAGCAGAAAAGGAGTCAGAAGCTCGAGAGGCTCGGGCTGCTTCCAACCAGGCCCGATTACAGAAGATTGTTCTTAGTTGGGATTTTTACCGGCTCCTAGCGTTGGCGAAGGTGGCTATCGATCTTGATCTGTTCATTTTTTTTTAATATCACTTGGACAATTTCGTGTTATTCAAGTGCAGATTTCGAAACATACGCAAGCATTGTGGATGGACTTATGATTCCATCCACAATGCCTCCTCTTATCTGCAGAATTCGAACCTCTTGCAATCGTTTTCTAACGAGTCATAATATTTTTTATCTGCAGTAGTTGTTGGAGAATGTCATGTGCTACTTCTGCGAAACTTAAGATTATGACATTGGAAATGCATGCAGATAAAGAATAAGAGGGGCAAGAGAGGGGACAAGGATGAGGAAGAAGAGACTCCTGAGGGTGCCTTAAAACTGAGAGCTGTACCCGATAAGTTTAAGGATTTAGAGGAGTATCTCTCTGTCTTTGAAGCTCTGCTTCTAGAGGAATGTCGTGCACAGATTATAAGGGGAGAAGAAGAAGGAGGTAAGCTATAGCTACTTTGAACCAATTGTAAGATTTACAACAGGTAGTGATGACCATGATCGGAAGTGTCACGGGAGTATATTGTTTTGTTTCTATGTTTATGCAACGTGATCAGGCATCTATCTGGGACAACAGGAATAAGATCGAGGAAGTGTAATTATACAAGATTTACGTGCAGGTGGGACACAGTGCCACATGGTTGGTCTTGCAACTTGGGAGAAGGCAAATGAGTTCTACTTTATGAGGTTAGCAGTTCCCGCCGATGCGGTGGAGGAATTCATGGAGAATGACTTGTTGCTATTAAGCAGAGAAAAGGTCCGTAAATAATGCTGTCCCAGACACAACACACGTGTGACCATTCATGAATGCCAATTCATTGATCAAACACTCCATAAAATGTAAATGTCTTCGGTTGTTCGATCATACTCACCTTATGTTATTGTGAAGATTAGAACAACTTGCTGACATATTTCTCATGGATACAGCCTCTTGGGGGTGCAAGACTTCCAACTACATATGCATTTGGAGCTGTTGAGGGAAGAGAAGGTGCTCAAACTCTTAGAGTGCGCATGCACCTGGATTCAGAGACCAGCGAAAAAGATGGACTTACTCTTACTCCAACTGCTGCCGCTCTGCGTTTGAGACAAGCTTTGCAGGGACCTACGTCGGCATGGTATATCATGAAGGTAAAAAAAAAAAAATTGAAGTAAAGTCACCGTATATTCGCAGATTGTCCCGAATGACACCTTTTTTTGGTGTGATGTACACCGACAGGATCCTCTGTATAAATAAGAAAGCTGATCTGTCTTTTCTTACTTGTGAAACCAAAACTGTCTTGGACTCAGATTGTACTCCACCTCCAAGTCGTTAAACTGATGGCGTGCAATGTTCTTACTTTCAGCTGTGCAATATGTCCACCATTTTGAGGGAATACACTGCCCTTCGATCGGTCGGTTCTCTCCCATTTGTAGACGTCATTCTTTCAGCAGCAGATGCGTCAAAAGATGCAGCTAAGAAGAAGAAGACTCAAGCAACTCAGCCGGCAGACCTCGGTCATTGGAACATTCCCCAGCCTCTGAAAGAATATTTACAAGGCGGCCACAATTCATCTCAAATGCAAGCTATACAGGTCAAAACAAAGTTCCACTGGGGTCGATGTCTTCAACTAAGCCACCTTGTATATTTACTCAGATTCATATATCGTATTTTTACAATATTCTTCTCGATATTCAGTTGGTCAGTTGCACACAGTTCCACCTTCTTGATCAAAGGTGGAGCACTTACTTTGTAGTGATTATGGAATCTGCGCAGGCTGGATTGACACGCAAGCCTTTGGTGCTTATTCAGGTAGCGCTCATGCACCCTTGCAAGGAGCTAACTATGGCACCCACTTTTAGATTTCACACTTTTTGTAGTGTATGCCTTTCCTTACAGTGCTAAGCTGAAATGGTTCGTGCGACAGGGACCCCCAGGAACCGGCAAAACGCAAACTATTCTTGGTCTTCTTAGTGTCATCCTGCACTCAACTCCAGCAAAACTCCCTGCGAAGTAACCAGCTTTTGCCTGAAACTCTGAAGGCTCGGAATTGCTCAATTTCTTGCAGTAATTGTGAATGTTTGTTCGGAAGGCATATCCCTTTCATCCAAACTTAACTCCTTCATTCATATGTTCAGGTATGGCGAAGTTAATATTGAAAGAAGGACAGAGCTTACTTATGAGGAGAAGTATTGACAAATATTCACCTTTATTGATAAATTAGAGACATGTTCTTTTGAGATTTGTGCTCAATACCAGTTTCGAATGGACTTAGACATCATTATGCATTGAATTCAACCAGAGAATTTCAGACACTTCGTAGGACGGCTGAACGAATTTTTAATGTCTAAATATGTGCAGGATGTTGAATTGGATGAAGGCATCACCGTGGCATGGTAACGGAATAAATCCACGTGACTTAATCATGCCAGAGGATGGCGATGACGGCTACTTCAGTGCTTCACACAATGCTTTTGTAAGTTACCAAGAATCACACTCTTTTTCATTGTTGAACCAAAGTTGATTCTGTATTTTGGTTCTTATCTATTTCCCTTTTGTTGTGGCTTTACTCTCAGAGACCAGAAAAGGTGGGAGCGAAACAGAAACTCCATGCTCATGTTCTCGTTTGTGCTCCTTCCAACTCGGCTCTGGATGAGATTGTCTTGCGACTGTTGCGTACAGGTTCCTTACTTCTGCCTTTTAGTTTCTTTATAGTTCTGTACTTCACGTATTGTTTTATTCATGTTTTCCGGATCTTTGGAAAGATACTATCTTCATCAAAAACTGCAATCATTACTTCTGAAGCTGACCAAACAGGAGGATTGGGGCATTTCAGGTCTAAGAGATGAAAAAGGAATGATGTACACTCCAAACATCGTTCGCGTGGGACTGAATGCCCACCACTCTGTACAGTCCGTCTCTATGGACACTCTGGTATGTTCAACCGCTGCAGCATTGTTTTAAACTGAACTCCGTCCACCTTCTTTGGAGCACATGATTCAATTTAAAGTTTATATCTTTGTTGAAGGTTCAACACCGGCTCAGCAGTACAGAAAGATCAGCTGTATCGGCGGGACCTCGTGCTACCGCTGGAATGGAGCGCGACCGCATCAGGATACAGATCCTGGATGAAGCGGCAATTGTGCGTATAGAAGCTTCAATTTTGAAGCTTGGGCAAGTCGGTAGTGTGGAAGAAGATATGGCTTGTGTGCTATTTCTACATTCCGAATTGTCTGCATGCAGTTTAAGAAGCAAACTGATTTAGTATATGTTGATGACACCTGAGTGGAATCAGGTGTGCTCTACATTGAGTTTCAGTGGAGCTGGTGTCTTCAAACGGATGAACCGAGGGTTTGATGTTGTAGTTATTGATGAAGCAGCGCAAGCTGTAAGTAAATCTTTGCCCTTAACAAGCTGTGATGTAAAATTTTTACCTTTGTCCTTCTTAAAAGCCATATACTGTCGTCCACTACCTGTCAGTGAAGTTGTGGTCTTGTAGTTCCAATTGTGTTTGGGTCAGGTGCGAATAGATTTTTCTCCGTTCTGCTTAGACCTTTGCCATATGGAACTTGGAAGGCGAGAAGTAAAGTTCACCACGAACAGTCCAGATTTTCTTCTACGTTAAATTAGAGTTTATAACTCTCTCAACACCACATTTTCATCTCGTTCCAGCGCTGTTTCTCTCTCTGTCTGGCAGCGTCTATGGTTCAGAACGAAATATCCATGGTCGACAAGCAATTCCTCATAAGAACATAACCTCTCTGCCAATTGTCCCTGAATTATACGGCTCTGACACAGGTGTATTTTTGTTGCAGGTGGAACCGTCAACAATGGTTCCTCTTATGCATGGTTGCCGACAAGCTTTCCTGGCACGGCTCCCTTCCTACCTAGGCCCTCCTTTATTAAAAAACGTGATGTTTATTGTGCTTTGTTACTTTTTTTGTTAAAAACGCAAAAACAGGGTAAGTTGCTGAAATGATCCGCTTTCAACATTTAACTTTGTAGTTTCTGTTTGTATGCAGGTTGGGGATCCCATTCAGTTGCCAGCAACTGTGCTTTCTACGAACGCTGTACAGCATGGGTAACCTGAAAACACCTTCTTGTTTGGAAAATAAGGTCTCGCTATCCATCTTGGTTGATATCTTGACTAGGCTTTTGCAACTAATAGACCATTACGTGGATCTGATTAACGACAAATCCGTTTGGCAGATATGGAATGAGTTTGTTCAAGCGTTTTCAACAAGCTGGTTATCCAGTACAAATGCTGAACACTCAGTACCGCATGCATCCTCAAGTAAGAGCATGACTAAACAATTCGAACTTGAGAGCATTGTTTCCTCGGTTTAAATATGATGTTGTTCCTGCAAAATACATGTTAAATGCATATCGATGAACTGTCGCGACCTGCAGCTTTGAACCTGACATCATCACTTTGTCATGAACATATAGATTCGTGAATTTCCGTCTAAGGAGTTTTATCACGAAGCTCTAGTGGATGGAGATGAAGTTGAGCTACAAACTACTCGGCCTTGGCATGAGCATCGCTGTTTTGGTCCCTTCGCCTTCTTAGATATTGCTGGACAAGAGAGTCAACCTCCGGGAAGTGGATCATGGGTTAACCAAGATGAAGCAGATTTTGTCCTAGTCCTGTATAAATGTTTGGTGGGAATGTATCCATCGCTGAAAGATGGACCACATTTAGCCGTCATTTCCCCCTACAAACAACAAGTTAAGCTCATAAGAGAGCTTTTCCGGGATGCGATCGGTGTAGAGGCCACGAAGCTTATCGACATCAATACTGTAGATGGATTTCAGGTGAAGTCTTCATTGACCTTAAGATTTCAAGCTTCCACCTGGCTTTTTAACCTTTTTGGACCTATGGATCTAGTATCCGTCCGTGTATTGATTGGAGCCATTGAGTTTTGTGAGCAGTCTAATATCCGAACAACAGGTACGTTTGTCCTAACTGATTCGATCCATATTTCTGCAGGGAAGGGAAAAAGATATTGCCATATTTTCATGCGTGCGTGCAAATCCCAAAGGCGGAATTGGGTTCGTGTCTGATTACCGTCGAATGAACGTGGGCTTGACACGAGCACGAGCTTCTATGCTGGTACGTTTCTAAGAATCGAGTTATCTTTATTTGAACGTCTTCCTAATCGAACCATCAGATGAAGTAACTTCTTTGCTGTTTCTCTTGTCACAAAGTTATCGTTTACATGTTGATTTTGTTAAAAGTATAAGGTTCGCACAAACTGACGAATTATTCTCTCGTCCAGGTGGTGGGTTGTTCTGCTGCCTTGAAACAAGATAAGCACTGGAACAATCTGATAACAAGTGCTGAGGAGCGCCGTCGACTTCTGAAGGTCTCGAAACCTTATCACTCGCTTTTTAGTGATCAGAGCCTGGAAGCCATGAAGAAACTCGACGAAGAGGAATCCCAGTTACGACTCCTGCTTGCTGAAAAGAAAGCTGCAGAGAAGCTTGTGGAACCTCCGAAGTCTGCAGATGTGGAAATGGATAATAATGACGATTATCCAGAAGAGGAAGAGGCCGAAGAAATTGGAGTAAATTTTGGAGACTTCGATGAAGAAGTTGAGGACATTTGAGGACCACAAATGAAGATAACCAATTCTACCTGATCACTGAGGATCTGTGTCGAAGCTGGTGGCCGCTCACTTGAAGGAAATGGAAATGCCATCGCCTTAAACGATAGAAATGTACACGGAGGTGTCCTCACAAGAAACAAGTCAACAGACTGCTCACCATCCATCCCTAAGCTCTTCTGGATCACGTATGTTACTTTGGAATCTGCCCATTTCGTTATTTCGTGCATGCAACAATTTCTAATGTTAGGACTGATTTCGATGTAAGGTAGATGCATGATGGAATCCAGTCTACAGAGTCCTGAAGCATGCTAGAAGACAAATAGAATACATATGGTTGGATGTAAAGGGTAAATAACAAATGTAAAGCTGTTCATAGGGTTTCTACCTACCGCTGTTTCCTGACTTGTGGGTTCATTGGACAGGGCATGGGAATTACCAGTGCCATTTGTTATGTATTCCCTAGCTGAAGATGTTCGGGGTTGGTTTGGCAAGTTTATGGGAAGAATGCCCATGACAGTGCACGAGAGCAGCAAAATAAATTAACTGCAGAATGTAATTTGTAGACTAGAAATTTTTTGTTGGGATATGGCGGCATCATCGAGATACACTGACCATTTTCAGTGGCCTGTAGTGTCGGATCGATATTCTGAATTTTTTAGTCATTCTTCGAGACGTGAAAGTTTTCCGGAAATGGAATGTACAATTGTAGGCTCAAGTGTATCCGAATACGATTCAAGCGTTATTTTGATGATTTACATCAATAAAATTGTGGGCTTTCACGCGCGTTTTCAGTTGAAAGATGTGTAGCAAATGACCGGCAACCGATACTCTTCGTCGCTAGTAATATTGCCCGGCCTTAATCCAAAGCCCAAAGGAGCGGCATATTTTTCCTAGTAAGTGGGTTTTTGTGACCCATAGGTGGACAAGCTTGTGAAGGATTTTTGTTTATAATGTGAAACGTCCCAATCGATTTCATCTGATGGTCCTTTGGGGCCTTGTAAACACGTGCATTCAACAACGAAATTTACATCTTGCCAGGGAAAGTTCTCCGAGGACATCTAGATTTGTTAGTGACAAGGAGACCCATATGCCGGGAGACTGGCACGTATGGTTCGGGGGGAGGTATATGTCTTCCACATGGGAGATGGGTACCGACCCTACCAAAGGAATTTGACAGGGGCCTGCACAAGCGGTGAAGCATGTGGTTTGTAATTCGATTCAACCCGCAGAGCTTTACCAGCCATTGGCAACTGAATAACTGTGCTTGCCCTTAACGGGATGGTACGAAATTTCATGCAGGTATTGCAAGGCTGTGATGGTGTTTGTAGTACAAGGAGTATTCAGTTATGGCTTTCTGGTGAGATCTTGAAAGGATGCCCCATTCTCGAAACATTGATATTAGTAGTGGTCAGGGACTTTGGTGGAATACTACTTTGTGATAAAAAACTTGAAGAAAATGCCAGAAAATCAGTAAAATTAAGAACTCTTGTAAGTGAGTATTATGAATATCGCTACGGACTAAATACTGGTCACTATTCTATAGCTAAATAGTGCCCTTGGTTGCACTTTTTTCTCTTCCATCCTAAGGTAGGAGTTTGTATGGCTTTATTAGGGAGATTAAGCCCAAAATATGACAAGTAGTTTATATTTACAAGATTTATCATTTACCATTTATATTGCCATTAAAATATCATATGGAAAATTGTAATCAGCTTCATGAGCAAGCAAACAGCCAACCTTAACTCTCTGCACACATCCTGATTTCTGTCACAAAGGCGGTCCCTTTTCGGTCACGGTGCTCTTTCGGTCCTTTTTGCCACGGTACGTGCTTTTGGAATGTGTGGAAAGTTGTATTGCACTGTATGGAAACATACTTCTTTATGTAGATATACTAGAGCAAAAGAATAGAACCTTACCTTAAGATATAAAAATAAGGTACCACTTTGCAGAATAGCTACAGAACAACCTACACTTGGCCCTGCCGATCCTGAATTTAGGTTTCATCACTATCGAATGTATTGAAGCAAAAACTACTGCCACGAAACCTCCCCTTGTCCTTGCAAGCCAAGATAGTAGAATCATAAATATGGTATCATAATACCACAGCAGAGTAGGAGGTGTGGCCATAACTCAGGCCTCGTAAGGCTTGGGAATTCCCATAATTACCAAAATTAACTTAAATTATGGATTCTATTTTTCTTATTTTTGTTAATTCTGGGATTTACTCAGAAACGCACTTTATTACTCGATGATGGTCTAAATGTGACTTCGATAAATTGCCTCTGAGATATGTGACAGAGTTTGAGTGTTAGAAACTGATTATGTATAAACCACGAGCCCTCACTGCCATGAAACAATTGTGAAGTACACTTGGATTTCTTCAAATGAGATTGTATCATCGAGCCAATGTGACTGCACACGTTCAAGAGTACGCAAAATCAATACTCCAAGAAAGGAGCGAACTTCTAGACGCAAGTGGGATATGCTACACCCTTTTGAGGACATATGGATTACAGCAACAATGGTTGGTGATTGATGAGAAATCTTCAGCGGGCAAAAAATGTAAAAGATAATAACCAGTGGAATATAGTCTTAGATGCAGGTTGTATAGACAGGGATATCCGGTAAGAAGTTCATGGGAATTAGATCATAAAGCTTCACGCACCTTCAAGCACAGTAAGCAATATTTGCAAAACAGAAATCACTTTCAGATTCTTCTTGGTAAAAACTCAGCTTTTCCTTCGAGACGTCTTATAACATCCATTCCCCATGTCTCAGCACCGTGATTGACTATGGATTATGATACTGACAGCGTCCTTAATTTATGGACGCAGCAAGTTTTAATTTCGGTTAATTCTGGGATTTTGTAGTTGACTCCCAGAATTTAGGAGGCCTGCCATAACTGGTTTAAGAACACACAATCTCTCATACTCCCCATAAGTAGGTGTATGTCCCACCATTATAGATTAGCTGCTTATACCATTACTCCGTACTCTATGGTGCAATACATACGATAAAGATGAATGACAAGTGGTTAATAGCCAGCACCGATTTTAGTAACGTCTTTTGTCATATCGTAGTACCATTTTGTATATTGGTAAAAGTTGGTTCAATTATATTGGGAACGCATAGAATTTTGTTTCACCTTCGAGAAAACTCAAATAGCGCCTGAAATGCCTACTTTGAGTATTGACAACGATGAGGGCTGGAGTCGAGCTGCTCTGTAGCTGAGTGGATCTTTCATGTCTTCTATTGTCAACTTGAGTATGCACCTGAAGCAGGTGGCCGTTTGAAGTTTGTATGATTGATGGTTTGAAGTGAATTAATCTATCTCTCTGCAGTCCAAGCTACGCTAGTCCATTCCAAACAAAGAATGTTTGTATGTAATCTCATTTCATTTCCTCGTTCATTATCCACACCTAATTATTCACTGCATCATATCACACAATAGAGGAACTTGGGATATCTTAGAGAAGATAGCAAAATGAAGTTCTAAATAAAGCCCGAGGTTCTGAAACCGCGGGCGTGAGTAAATGAGATGGGCGTAGACGGACAAGATGACACCAATCATTCTTGGAAGCCGTAGGGACGTTATAACTTCGGTCTGGTAACTGCTTCTTAAGATATTGCACGGTCGAAAGATTGGCCTACGTCGAGTAACGTGGCGTGTGCTTCCCTTATAAAACCCATACACTTAGTAGAATTATAAATTCTGTGAATATAAAACACAGCCGCATCTTCCTTCTCGTCCCTTCGGGGACATCCGATAAAATTGGAACGATACAGAGAAGATTAGCATGGCCCCTGCGCAAGGATGACACGCACAAATCGAGAAATGGTCCAAATTTTTTTTGGCGATCCTGCCCTTGATTTCTTTACTGGGAACTGAGTACTTACCTGGCAGTGATGGACACGCTTCTCTCCTCGCTTGCTGCATCGACCGAAGGAAGAGCAGATGATGTGGCACAGAGAGAAGAAGATTCCGAATCGCACAGATTACAACTCTCATTTGTACTGAATGGGAATGTTTGACAGAGTGCAAGTCTGAAGCCGGTGCTCTTTTGAAGTCGAAGGTTTGTCACATTGTCAATTGCGAAAGTGCCGGTGGGTGTCGGCGCCTGGACATTCAGATCGTAAGGGATTCCCGCAATTCGAATTGATGTATGCACCTCTGAAACCACACGCGTGGAAATTGCATGCTTTTTTTCACGTTGGCGAATTCTCGGCTAGACGAGACAAATAACAACTGCCTTTACCTCAGTCCCTGGGGAACATCTGGATAGGAATTTTGTTGATGTAATGTTACAGTAGAAGATCAGAAAAGGCAAATCTTGTCTTGGAATTAGAAATCAATTGACAAATCCATGAATGAAGAATCACGGTTCGCAAGGAGGTTGTGACGATGGCTTTCGGACGTGGTCGACTCACAGGACTCTCTTGACCTCTTGGATGGTTAATTTTCCCTACTCTCTCAACGTTTCTTTGTTCTGCAGAAGTAGCACCAAGTAGGACAGTTTTACCAGTTTTATCAGTTTTACTCTTCCTTTAATGATAGCAGATAGGGACCAACCCAACACCAGAACAATATGGAAGAAATAAGCTATAATAAGATCATGGTAGACTGAAATTGAGAGTGTAATGAGAATTCAACCGTTGTTTGAATTCTCGTATTGCCTTTCATTCGTTCTGCACCTGTTAAAGACTAACACTAAGACGTCTTTATGTCCAGTTAATCTTGCTGCGGAAGGCATTGTCAATGCTCAATTTGTCTCAAATCTTTTATGATGTGTGAAAATGTAGCAAAGGTATAGGACTGGATATGGATGAGTCATGAGTCCCAAAATACTCTCGATACGAAAACGTATGTGCACCAGAAGTTTCTTCCCAAAAAGCAGTCATCAGTTTTTCAGCTCAATTCGGATGGGGACAGATTCCGACAGAATGAACTCAACAATCCTTCCATGTCATCTTTGACAACAGTCGAAATAACCATAGTTCGCATCATAATCTGCTCATTCATGGAGGAGTTGCGAAACCAAGTGAACAAAGTTACTGGGGAGACGCAAACGACAAATTGACTAAATTTTGAAGTGGCACCAGTAATTGTGGTACAAGTTACAAGATGAATGGCAAATTTCACCTTTCAAAATGAGATTTGCATGGAATTCGAAAGAGCCCGAAACCATCGCTACTTTCAAAGAACACAGCTACTGAGCTGAAAATGAATATATATCCAATGAATGTATATCTATATTATTAATATATCTAATCAATGTATGTTATATAGTAGTAGTAATAATATTTCAAAACTTGTATGAAGATACAAGCTTTGAAATATGATTTATGAAATATTAAATATCTTGTTGAAGATGAAAACGAAAGTACCAATGTGAAACATTGCTTGCTGAGTAAAAAGATAAGCTGGTGATAATGTAGTACACAAAAAATACAAAATAAAGACATGATAAAATTTTAGAATGTTGTAAACTTTGTAATAAAAATAGAATATATTCATCGTTGTCAACTTTTATCATTGTACTTGTATCGCTTAGAAATTTTCTTCATGCTAAAATGATGAACATCATACATTCAAATATACTTGACATTGTATGGGTCAACTCAATTGAAGTATTATAAAGTTTTCAAGGTTTGTTTGTATCATGTTAGAGAAGATGATATCAATAATAAGATTAAAATTTCACCAGATTAAAATTTAGTTCAAAGTGATAATTCTTGATGGACTTTTCTATTTCTGTCAGTACAAACTTTGAAATTCAACTTATGATGTAGTGGAGTGATTTTGGCTCTAAAATCTAATATGCTTTAAAAATAATCTAATTGAAAAAAAAATATGACTTCCAATTGTATTCAAATTAAAATTTGAAGTCAATTGATGAATTCTGAATCCAAAGTGCTAGGTAAATTTTTTATATATAGCATGGCACTTCTTGAACTTTGTAGAGTAGATAAACTTCTAAAATCTGGTTGTACTGACATTATTATTTAGATCGATATATTTTTTATAGTTTCACAAATTCAAATCAAGTTTTTTAAAGAATATGGAATCTTTTTTTTCAAAATAATTCCATCAATGAAACATATTTTTTTTGAAATTGTGAGTTAGATTCTGATGATTTTGTTTAAAATTTGATGGATGGATGTTACTCTATGAAGCGATGAAATTTTTCTATAAAAAAAATTAAAAATTAATTTTGGAAATTCTAATAAAATTTTCTATGAAGTTTGACAAAAGTAGAGTATTCAATCTGTGTCTATTTGATTTCAAAAATTCCAAATAATAATATATATGTAGATAAATAGAGTCACTCTTGTGAATAAAGTAAGTGGTAAGCGAGTTAGAGATTTATCAGTATATTTGACTCGCAGGTGATATTAGAGTAGCACGTTTGCTAGAAAGTATTTTCTTCGTTCTCGTGTGATAGGCTTAGCTTGGCTTTTTTATTAGTTATTGCTTGTTTTCTCTTTGAAAGGGAGATCTTTGAATGCATGCGTTGCCACTTTCTCGCTCACTCATTGGATCGATAAGAGCTGAAGAAGCCAAGACTTGTAGCCCGGACAGTTCTCAAGTCCAATCCAGCATTCCAACGCTGCGAAGCGCAAACCAACCACAACGAAAGTTTATAAACCCATAAGCCTTACAGTTTTATCACAGAGAACAATGGTTCATTAAGCTTGACCAACGGAAGAGAAGTATACTTACCTGGGCGGGGCCTATCGCTGATCCGAAAGGGCGATGACCTAGAGTGGGCTGACCCATTGCACCAAGGCTCGGCAAATTCTAGCATTTCCCCAAGGGGAAAATGCACGTCGTAATTTGTGATAGAGGAGGGCTCGCGTTCGCGCGGCCCTCCACCTTTGGAAAACAAATAGCAATTTCTATGTACCTTTTCGAAGGTCTACAACTGTGATACCAGTTGATGGAATACACTGTACGACGACGATGGAGTGTAGATGAGTCGGTGTACCGGCAGCTTCTGTCGACTCTGTGTACAACATTACTGTGCTGTCGTTTGATTCGAAGCGAAGGAGATTTTATTACCGTATCGAGTGACAAGTCTCGTGACACGAGTAAATGTCGACAAAAGCGTGACAGACAGAATCGCAGTAGTCCAAATATGAAGATGAAACAACTTTCTATCACGTCGTGCGGAGACGAGCTACGTATACTAGTTAAATTCGTCTGTGTCTGAGTGAGTTCGTGACCAAGGGAGACAGCAGTTTGAATGGGAACACTTGGCACTACTCAACGCTAGGTATTCTGCATGTACTTCAGTAAGTCAATTACAAATGTTTTCATTGCTGCTTCTTCTGAAATCTTGATTCCTTCCTAAGTGAAGGGCAGTATTGATAGTTCTGGCTGAGCTGCCGAAGCGACTAATATCTCTATTTGCATTTTCTGGGGTTCATGTTCAAGCTTCAGATCGATGACCGAACCACATTGTGAAGTACACGTTTAAGTTCCATCTTGTTTCATTCATTGCTTCCTGTCCTGCCATCTAACTTTGTCGGGTGACCGGAACGTTTACTCTTGCGACAACGAACGTACTCTGCATTCGTCCTCGAACATATTTCTGGTTCATCTTAATAATGTTCAATCGTAAGACAGTCATTCCAACTGTCGAATGTTGTCTGAATGCGTTCACCTCCATCCCATAACTTCAGATTAGCCTGCTTTGGGACAGATGAAGTCCAGCCTCCAAGGTTTTGACCTTGGAGGCTACTACTAAATCGAAACTGGAAAAGCGTACGTGAACTGCTAGCATGTGACGACAATGTCCTAAAGATTCTGTGTCGGAAACCTCAATATCCTGAAATAGTTCGCGTTGAATTCCTTCACAGCTACAAAATCTTTGTATCAGCTACTTCCAGTGCTTCTACTTGCTGGAGCTTAACTATATTCGACCTAGGATATGTTATTGACGCACGCCGTGAGGTTAAGGTACTTGCCCGTCGTATGTGATACATGGGATATCTGTGATCTCATTTCAAGCTGCTGGTAGATCACTCAGGAGAACTGCAACACCTTTGTAAGCAAGTCTAGAAAGTGAAGATTTTCTTCGGAAGATGAATTCCCACGGTAATTTGATCGGTTGACGATTCCGACATATCTTAGCTAATGGGTCAAATCCGTCCTAGTCTTGACGACTCGTGCTCGTAAAAAGTCAGAAATTTACTTAGTCCTGCGTTCTAGTTCGGAGTTGTTCAGGTGCACAAACTTAATATATCTAGCTAACATCTTTCCACACTGATTGCAGATAAAAGAAAGAGCAGTATGAACTTTGGAGCTAATATGCTCACAAGTTAACTGGAAGGACTCGTAGAAAGCAAGAAAAAGGTCTCAGAAGCATGCGCTACTAGTCTTACATTCCGCTCAGATCTCCGTGAGACTCAGAACTCTGTGTTGTGAAGTGAGTGTGTGGACTCGGCCTCCACTCGGTTTGTTCATGAATATGAGAATGGTTTGATTCAAGCCGAAGACCAGAGAAGTTGCTGCAGATCGGTTCTCAGTCTGGACATTCCACATGGCAAGCAACAAATTCCTACGGCCCATGAATTTCATGCTGATAGCAGAAGGTTTATTCCTGTCAAGAGCATATTAAGCACAAGAGGCGAAAGGTGGTACAAAAATTCGAGCGCTGGGGTCGGAGCCCAATTGCCGATGTACCAGGACAACAACTGGGTTCAGAACTTATCCCAAGGAAGCATCAGAGCACTCCGATGCAACTACCCAGCCATACGATCAGTTACCGACTGTGAACCCTGCTTAGAAACGGCCAGGGACACACTGAGCTCCTCGTTTTGTACGACCGAGTGGAGCGCCAGAGTGACTCTCACGGAGTGCACGATGCGATTCAGCTACTAACAGCCATACAGCGTCGACGATCCCGACTTCTAGAGGTCTGTGCAGCCAGCAGGACGGCAGTTTAGAGGCTCTCAAGCGCTGGGCACCCCAAATAAGACGGACGAGATTCAGCACACATTTGTTCCCAACCTGGAGCTGCTGCAAACAGTCTACGAAGGAAGCAAACAGAGCAGCGAAAACGAGTCGTCCGATGACGATGAGAATGAAGTGGAGAGGATCTAATCAGTAAAGCTGGTTTCGTGTTTTGATTGAGTTCAATGGACATATGAGTACAGTTGCATAAATTTTGTACAGATTGTTGTGGTGACAGACGTTCTAGTAGCAGCAATGCGGCCCCGAGCGAATCCGACTCTCGGCTCTGCGCTACCTCTCGCGGAGCGGAGCGGCGGTGCTGGGCGAGGCGTGGGAGACTGTCGCGACATTTGCTGTGCTCGAAGCTTCGGTGATGGAGAAGCTGGGCTCCCAGGCAAACCAATCGTACAGATTGTTGGGGCTGCCTCCGGACTCCAGCCTGGGGCTCCATGCGCCCGAGGCGAGGCTGTAGTAGAACCAGTCGCGCGACCGGTGGTGGCGGTCCTTGGTCACGAAGCACAGGAAGTCGCCGTGGCACAGCGTGGAGTAGTAGTTCCAGGCGCGCGACAGAGTGTTCGAGTGCTCGCGCGGCATGCGCACGTCGCGCTTCTCCCACCACGACGCGCCGGTGAAGGGGCAGGCAGGCGCGCCGGCGCCGGCGTCGTCGGCGTGAAGCGTCCAGAGCGTGAGCTTGTCCGCCGTGCTGCCGACGAGGCAGATCCGGTCGCCGTGGATGTACAGAATGTGCGGCACGTTGTAGCCGAAGCGCGACGGCAGCGGCGCCTTCAGGCTGCTCCAGACGCCGGAGGCGATGTCGAAGGCCTCGAGGCCCTCCTCGTCGCCGTGGTTGTGCTGGTAGTAGATCACGTCGCGCCACACGATGCCCGCCGGCAGGTCGCAGGTCGTCTTGCGACAGATCTTGCGCGGGTTCTTGGGCGAGCTCTTGTGCACGCGCCACTGCGCCGTCTCCGAGTCGAACACCACCGTCTGCAGCGTGTAGGCGCCCGCCACCACTAACCGGAAGTGCCCGGTGCGCCGGTTGGCCACCAGGTTCAGCACCAGCACCATGGACGCCAGCGTCGGAGGCCAGTGCGGCGGCAGCACGCTGTGGCACTTCATCAGCGGGTTGCACACGCACAGCAGCAGGTGGCCGTCCACGTCCTTGCTCTTGTAGCAGAAGAGGCCGCCGTCGACGTCGGCCAGGATCCAGTTGCTGCACTCGGGCAGAGGCGGCGGCGGGTGCCAGGGGCTCTTGACCCACTCGTGCCGCTCCGGGTGGAAGAAGGTGGTCAGGCGCAGGTTCTTCGCGCGGCTGCGGCTGGCGAAGGAAATCCAGGTGAAGTTATGGGGGCGCGGGGCCTTGAGTGTCCAGACCGGGCTCGAGTTGTTGTCGGCGTGGAACCTCCTCCATTCGGGAGAATCGATCAGATTTTGCCAGCTTTTGCACACGAGCTTGCAACGGAATATGCACTCGATCGGAAGCCTCGTCAGGATTCTCGATAGAATATCTTCCGGAAGAATTTCGCAGAGAGCTTCCGACTCCCTCTCGGCAACCTCCTGCTCGATCTGCTGCATTTGCTCATCCTCGTCTATAGTCACCATGGCTGCAGTGGTAAAGGTCGCTGCTCTCAGACTACCCAAAATTCGCCTCAAGACCTGTCCCTTGAACCTTCTCCTGAGCTCATGGAACCCGCAGCAGATCTAAAAGTGCGCTGCCCAAAGTCTCATGGGATTTCAGCCCCACCTGCTCACTCAGTGTGTTACGACTACCTGATCGTGAAGAATGTCTACCCTACGCCTGGCTTGATTTCTCAAAATTTCACCTGCCGTGTGCGCTCCTAGCAGCTGATCGGATTCCATGACCCGCTGGCTTGACATGTGGAAGAGTCGGCCGAGACCCGGAAGAGAGCTGTTGCAGTAGTAGATCTTAGCTAGTAGTAAGTGGAAGGCCTGAATCGACCGGATGTAAAATCTGTGGAAGCGCCTGTACATTCAATGCCTCACGCGGCTATGACCGAATTTCTCAAGCAAGTTTCGCAGAAGAGCAGGTGATCTCTCGAATGGACACGTCCGAGCTGGGTCGACGTCTTCCGCTCGGACCGACGTCGTTCACCCTTAGATCCGACTGATATGCTTGTAATATATGCAGGGCTACTGATGGTGGTGGTGGCGGCCATGATTAGAAATTTGCAATCTCCTGACTCCATCCAACTTCGGGAAAAAAGTTGATTCCTCGAGAGCTCACCTGCTATAGAGTTTGATGATCCCCTTCAACCCGACTCGAACGAGGTGCTTATATTACCCGTAACGCTGAAGGTGGCCATGATCAGGAGTCTCATGATCCGAACCTCGAGAAAGCAGATGATCATGATCAGCTTATAACCGCTCATGCTCGTAAGCTCCTCCGCTGCTCGGATCGTCTCACCATGTCCCCGCCAAAAGACAGCCCGCACTTGATTCACAAGTACATTAACTACAGAGAGCCGAGGAGGGAATCAAGGTGCACCAGCTCCTGCTCGTATGCAGCCTGCAGCGACACTAGAAGTGCTCCATGCTCGCAGTATAAGCTCCGGGCGAATCCCGTACAGTATCACTGTGGGGGATATACGACAGATCTTTGCTCCACTGTTAGTGCCTCCTTTCTCTCCCTTCCTCCTGTGTTCTCAACAGTCGGTGTCAGCCCAAGTCTTCCGGCAGTAAGTGAGCAGGCTCAACCGATGGTGCCGTAGCCTGTGAAAATCAATCTTAAGCTTCGAAGCTCTGCACCCCAGAGATCCATACCTACGTTCTCGACAGTACATTTATGCTCTTTGCTGTCCGAAGAAACCTCCATGACGATTACACAACTCACTGTGACGAGCTATTTTTAATCCAAGCACCTGACCTAGTGCAGAGCGGTTCGCCTGAGTTCCGGCACCCTTCTCGCCCTATTCCAATGAAATGAAAAGTGATGAGATGAGGCTTACGAAGAGGAGCTCTCCGACTGCTGAAAAATCGCCATCAGTAAAATGCCGATGAATTTCATTCTCAGAAAGTCCTAGAGTCGGTTGTGTTCGAGCATACATCGATCAAAGGTTTTGAACTTCTCATTTCCTGTCCGTCTTTCTGTGAGCTCCAAGCGCTGTGCCCAGCATGCAGCCGCGGACACGTTCAGGTGCAGCCGGTATTACGACCTCCGGGAAAGCAGATCCAGCTGTTGTGACTGTTTCAGCTCTGGGGGTTGACTCGCTAACCACGGACAGTTCGCTCTCTATTCATGGGAGATGAGCCTGGGCTTCAAAACAATTAATATGTCCTGCTGAGAGTTGCAAGTACAAGAGACTCGGAGCCCTGCACCACCTTCACGAAACTGTAGGCTTTTATTCAATTGGCAGTGATCTTCACGCCTCCTCCCTCCATGTCTCATAAGAGGATCTGCAGTCTTCTGCTTATAATAAGCCTTCAAAGTGCCAAAGGGTCGGGCAGCCTTGTCCTTTAACCCCGAGCACATGAAAAGGAAAACGCGTTCGTCATGATCTGCTTGAGGAACGGTGTGCACAGACATTCTGTGTCTGGTCACAAGTGATCGCTTCTGCATGACCAAATTGTTCTTGGGGAGTTGCATTCTCTACTGACTGTCTCCTTGACTCATATCTCATGACTTTGTTACGACCCTCGTTCTTCCGAGACTACTTGCCAGGGTGGTTACTGATAACCTTAACTCAGTTGCTCGAGTGGTGATTGCAGGGTATGGTTTCTAGATCTCCCGCGGTGCCGGAAAATTGTATCACGTTTTATTCATTTCCTGGGATTGATGTTTCCCGAGTGCTGATCGCTGCCTACGTCATTTCCCCATACAATATGGGTACAGTGCTTGTACGCAGTTTGATGCGCGGGTTTGAGCTAATCCCAATCCAGGCAAATCAAGGGACAAACTGAGACTTACATACTGGCTCCAATTGTAACCGAAGTGTTGTATAAGCTCTAAGAAGCAGGCTTTAAGGCCCCAGACAATAAAAACTTTCGGATCCGTGCACGACGAGAATGAAAGTCACTAGTGTTTCCAGGCAGAGTAAATGAAAGAGGATTTGAACTTCTCGTTCGATATTTTATCGTGGCACAATATGGCTACAAGAGATATCTCAGCTCGCGGCTCCTGAATTTGAACAGCACCCGTCGAAAATTTCTCTACCAAGTCTACCCCTCGAAGAGTGATCGTACAAGAAAGTCTGAGGTAGAAACTCGGTTGTTAACAGCATATCTCCGGCCTCACTCATCAACCTACATCTGACAGCCACCTGCTCTATTCTCTGCCAGCTTGGCCGGAGGAATGTTGCGCTTACATGTTTGTAGTCTAGAAATAAGCGCTCCTTGCTTACTCTGAGCGTCCTGCGCGCCAGGGTTTAGAAAAACTTTCAGTAATATTTAAAACGGTGAACACTTGCTACTGTTCCCCATGTGCTCTTACAATACTCCTTCTGTACAATAAAGCAGATGCGGTGATTTGTATTTGACCAGTCTCATTTCAGTGTCCGCAAATCATGGCTGTGACAAGCCGCAAATCCATCCGCAAATTCAAGAATCGGAATGATGTCTTCCATCGCGGAATCCCATTGACAGTGTGCCCGTGGAAGCCCAAGCCTGCTTCAGGCCACCTCCCAGAGCGTCTACTGTCACTCCTTCCGATAGATGACAGGAAAGCAATCTCGACTGCCTCAGAATCGAGATCCAAAATTGGTCACACAGAGCTGCAGAAGACATTCCGTCCGATTACTTGCGCGGGTCTGACGGAAGCAAAGAAGCACCGCATTCGGCCCTTCGTACAGGACATGTCGGTGGACAATCGGAACAGGCCATGTGCACGCCAACACCAGACTGACTCAAAGGCAGAAGAAATTCACATTCACATCGATCGGCCACTGCAGTCAAAAGAGACTCATTGGCAGTCTCGCGCACGAAGCCCTCTACTCACAATGCCGTAGCTGCGATTACGCGTGCTTGAACAGCTTCATACTGAGCCAGTGCAGATATATCGCCACCAGCGTCACCGGAAGAGTGAGGGGAAGAAGCAGGCAGTAGTACCTGCGTCGTTCGACCATTGTCATTCTCAATTCAATTCTCAAATTTCAACACTTGGAATCGGCAACTCTCGAGCACTCCGAAGATGGACGGACAGCCAGCCAGCATGCTGAACAAAACACAACGTACCAGTCACTCCTCATCATGTCCACGGAGGGATTTCTTGCCGGAGGCAAGATCTTGGCTGTGGCGAGGGTGTAAATGCAGAGAGCGACCGATGCAATGCCGGCGATGATCAACATGACTCCAAGATGGGCGGGTGCAGGATCAGGTCTGCGAGGGGCACGCAGGCTAGGAACCCTGATTAGAGCACCGGACAAGAGCTCATTGAGCTCCTCTTCTTTGACGCCATCCATCGTTGTGCAACGAAACTTCGCCGCTCAAATTGTGTTCCGAGGGTGCTGGGGAGTGCACGAATGCCGAAACTGTTAGTTTCACTCCCTATTTCGTTTTCGTCCTTGGAACATTCGAGCACTTCTCCGCTGTTTCAGCTTACTGCAAACTAGGGTGGTGTGATTTCCCGTCGTAAAGATCGCTGCAAAGTTTATCCATGGTCTCTACGGCTGCACGACAACTGCTTCTCATGTCGGTTTCATCATCTCCCGTAATGACGATTAGTCGTGCAGAACTTGTAGGCCTCTAGGCGAAGCACAGCAGTTCAGCTCTGGAATCAGGGCAGTGAACTCTTGTACAACAATCTTTTCGGAAGAATCGAATGCCGCTCCTAAAAAATTAGAAATCAAACCAAGGGAGGCTCTGACACGGGAAATCCATCGCTTCTCGAATCCCGCTCAGTAGAAACTTCAACAGCAGGGGGGGCGTGATCCTACTGAATGATTAAATGTCGAGCAATCATCTCCGAAACTCCTAGAGAGGCAATATAAAAATCAGAGCAAATCTGAGCTTCAATGAGAAAGAGAGCGAGAACAGGAGCACATCAAAAAACGGCCCCCGCTAGAAGGATTCAAGCGCCGCTGCCGGGGATCGAACCCGGGTCACCCGCGTGACAGGCGGGAATACTTACCACTATACTACAACGACTTGATATCTGTCAATCACTATCTAAAACCTTTGAATATAAATTCTCAAACGTGTCACTTGTATTAACTCCAGGTATCATGGATTCAAACTTTCTTTTCATAAGCTACATATTGTGAAACGATCGTGCATGGCCAAAATAAATATTCCGAATCAAGATGTTTCGAGTAAGGTCTAGACTACGAAGTATACCTCATAGAAATGGCTGATGTGTACAGAACAGGATAACATTGGATGGAGCTGAAGGTGATAGACAAAAAGCTCACAATCAATGCTGGTTTGGTGACTTTGGTTGAAGTACGAAAACAGATACACTCATCTCGAATCTGTCCTGCCTTGGTTTCTCTGTTTCGGCATTCACGTTATTATTCTTTGAGAATAATAACATGCTCATCCGCAATAGCTGGGAAGGCGTTATTGTCTGAACACAGCCGAATGAACAAACTTTTGCTCCTTACAATCACGATGGGCAGTACAAGAGCTCCCGAATATTGAGCTCTCTACATCATCGTATCGAGCAAAGGTCAACGTTCAGAGCAATGAGGTGCAAAAATGGTTTTAAAGCTCATGCTAGTCCTATCCAAGTAAGGTTATTCGAGTTTTCTTCGTTCTCTATATTACAAGAGATAGTGTTAAAGCGTGAGCACCCAATGATTTGTCCATAACCTTGGTAGTTTCAACGACAATGGAGTCTGCAAAGAGTAGCAAAGACTGATGAGAATGGAAAGAAGAAAAATAATGTACAAGCAAAACACAAGAAAGGTCTCGGACTCCCAATTGTGTGCAACACGTCCGAGATTTCTCGATATAATTTCTACACGCTATCCGATTCAAATCTCTCTAACTCCATCCATCTGGTTTTGCTGATCCTTGACAAAGCCAACTCCAGGTCTCGGCACGTCCCTTTCAGGTCCTACATCCTCGTACTGCTGCGCATCCCTCAGAGATGCTTCAAAATCTGTAGCATCCATGGCAGAGGGCAAAAAGTGGCCAAGCTCATCCCTAGCGCCAAGACCTCCTGCTCTCACTACATCCTCAGCCAAGATCGGAGCTTCCATGCTGTAATCTGCTCCGCGATTCGGATTGTGCTTGTAGGTCCAGTCCTCCGATTTTTTGGGTGCAGCAACACTCTCATCGGTCTTGGAAGCTGAAAGTGAAACCTCAGTTACAGGCGGAACACTCGTATAATCAGCAACTTCGGTGGTCGTTGAAGTGCTGAAAGGATCATCTGCTGTCAGAATTGTAGGCTCCGCACGGTTGACAACTCCTGCATCCATACTGTATACGGTCTTTCACAGTGTGCCCTCGTTATCCTGCACCGATAGCAAGCAAACTCTTCAGATTTTGAGAGTTCGAAAGACGTGGCACGTGATAACGAAGAACCAAAGCACCTAATGCGAGAAGCTGACGATCAAAGAGTCACATAACGCGATGAAGATTGATTGTAGAAACGCAAAAGAACCTCAAGTTCAGAACGGATTTCCCTAAACTTCATGCCTCGGCTTCCTCACACCAGTTGCTGTATGAAAGCAAAAAATCATGATAAAGCAATTATTACTAAACCGAGAGATCAAAGAACGAGGACCGGGAAACAGGGACCGCCAAAATCTGAAGTAAATCGAATAAGAAACCGTCGGCAAATGAGAGACGCTGCAAACGATACCTCACAACGACGAAAACTAAGGTTTGCTGAGAGTATTGAATGAATGTTGCGGGAAATTCTGTCTTCAAGAGCAATGCAAACTCTCGCGATTCCTACAAATCTGGGCACAAACTCTCCACATTTCCGGTTTTCCTGCTTCGAAAAGACAAGAGGAAAATCAAAGGCTCACCTCGAAGAAAATGTTCCAGTGAGATGCGCATGCGCTTCGCTTTCTCCAACTCCCGACAGACACGAACGAGAAACTGAAGAGTTTGACGAAGTGGAGAACCCGGAGCGGCAAGAATGCGACAGCAAAGTGAAACACTTATGACGCTGCCACGTGCTTTCAACTTCCTCCCTCAGTGGGTACGTGGCACCACTTCCGATAACCTAACTCAAGGCAAAGTTCCACGCAAGCAAACCAATCCCCCACACGCTGGACACCATGACCGGGCAGATGCACGGTCCACCTGTCGCGGCACACGTGGCGCCTCATCATCGTGCCTGCTCCAATCTTACCGTCCCTTCCTCTCCTTGCTACTCTCAAAGCGGAACAAATTTCTGAAAATATAGATGGTATCCTTACCTCAGAACCTCCACACACAAACGGCCCTGCCTCCTAGAGTGTGTTGGATTTCAACTGTCTACCTGTCACAGTAGTTATCGTGCCACGGAGTCTTCGAGATCTGTTGTTAGAGTCCAATTTCCATCGATCGCCGAGAATGGATTGACAAGGGAACTGAAAACTGCCCAGAGGTATGGGTCTAGTCCGCTGGGAAAGAATACTTTCGTGACTCCGCCGTTCTTTAGTTCGTATCGTTGAAAGAATGATGAGGCAATAAACAGAAGAATTTTCATCTCGTCATACGACTACCCTGTGACACAGCAAAACAGCTAAAATACGAGAGAAGTGATGGAAAACGTGGGCTCTTTCGGTGTAGAGTGTAAATATGACTCCGCGGCAGTCAGCGCAAACCGATCATACAAAGATGTGCAGTATTCTGCTCCTGTTGTGTACACGTGAGGTGCAGGAGTGACGTTCTGTTCGTTCTGACATTCTGTTCTGGAATGGTTCTTAGATGTGACAGTCTTCCAGAGGACTAAATCAGACCGAAAAGAAACAAGAAACGGAGTAGATACGAGCCACAATAAGCATTTATTTTTTCCTCCTGCAATGATATACATTATCTCCTTGTCCTAAAACACCTCCCCGATGGAGATCCTACCACCAGAAACCTATCTCTGGAAGGTCAGCGCTGACCAGTACAATCTGCTGTCAGAATAGCCTACAAATAGTTTGATACTAAACTTCGTACTTGTAACTGAAATCAAAAATTCCTCATCAGAGGGAAACCGCTTGTCTTGCAACTGCAGGGTCACGTTGAAAATATGCAGTGAAACATCGATGACATGTACAGCTGATGAGAGATGGTTGCATCACTCACGTAAATACTCATAATCTACACCGGAGTACTTTGCCGAAGGAGCAACTGAATCTCAAACCAAAGCTAAGATTGTTCGAGCTTTGCCATGGCAACAATACTCATGTTCATCATCTTCTGTATGTATCAGTTGATCTTGGACTTCTTGGAGCTCTTGAGAGGCTTGGCAATGGGCGCGGTTATCCTCTTTACCTTGTTCATGTCATATTTGATAGACAGAACTGCAAGAGCCAGAGCAATGAACAAAATGAAATCGGCATGTACAAGTTGGGAGGACTCCCTGTCGGGTCTGTCAAACAGATCATCCTTAATCAGGCCCCAGATGATCAGCAGGATGCCAAACATGCTCATTCTACCAGGCTTGATCATGGATACAACTGCTCCTCCGACTGCGAAGTAGCTACCAGCCACCACCTGCAATCCAGGATCCGCAAACTCACATCAGAAACATAATGAAATCTGCAAAATAATCTACGTAACAACACATTTAGGAGTTCCGACATTTCTATAAAGAACAACAGCTATACTTGCCAAGCATGAACATAAAACTCAAATTGTTGATAGATCCATGCGCAGCTTACCTCCAGGCGGTACTTGTAAGACTCGTCACGTGGAGTAATGTTGGTCAAGTTGTACTCTTCCAAAAGATTGTTCCAGAGAGGAGCCAGAGAAGCTACAGAGTCTCCTTTGTATAAATGGCCCACGCAAGCACCGGGATATAGAAGAGCTTTTTGCATTACTACCGGCATGATACCACTCGTAGCAACCTGAGTCATGGTTACCTGTAGTGGTGTTGTACAGATCCCTGTTGAGCAAGGCACTCTGTCACAAGCACAAAGTCTCATATCATCATCACAAACGAACAACACCATGAAACGAACTAATACTGCTGATATTAGCAGCTGACATGCATCAACGCTGGCTACAGCAGTTTTATGAAAAGGCTCCGAGTGACTTCTAATTTCAAACAAATATTGGATACAGTTCGGTATCCTCCATGACTGTGATGTCAAGGTCGCTTTCAACAATGCATGGACATCTCTCGGCCGAGAAGTTAAAGCGAAATTCTGAAGTAAATTTTCGGAGTCTTATACTAGGAATATTGTTTTCTACAAGTATAAGGCCAAGTGCTCTGCCTCACGCTCTGCCATGGGTGGCAACTGCTTTGAAAAGTCCAACGACGAACGGGATTGTCTCGAAGTCTGAGCTTGCTGCTAATTAAGGTTGACTACTATTGACAAAGTTGGCATCCTGTGTTCACGGTGGCAAAGAGTGACACCGTTAGGTAAGGGTTCAGGTTTCAAATCCCCGCAAACCGCTCTTCAAGAGATTGAAGAGCGGTTAGTTCGAACCAGCGTTGTTGCAAAACTGAATAATGGTTCGAAGACATAGGTCTTCAGAACTATAATCGGATCGGCGGTTGCGGAATCTGTGGCCCACAGGAAGACGCAAACTTAATGCCATGGGCTAAGCTCAGTCTAAACATCGTGTGGCAGCTAAGCTTGAAACGTTAGTTAATCTGCACACATCAAAGTCATGGGGCACCTGCGACACGCTCCTTTAAATTTTTCGGATGACATGAAATAAAATTTGCCCGACAGCGCATTCTAAGTTCAGTCAAGACGCGACAACTCTTGCAGACTCATCTGAGACTCTGATCTAAAGCGGCTCATGCAGAATCTGATACGTAAAATGTCCTGAGCCCGCATCGAAGACGGAACCCGAAACCGATAAATGGCAGACTTTCCTTTCCGCGGTCGTAATTGACCAAAGTATCAAATCACCGTAGTCAGCGCTGCCAGAGCTTGCATAGCCCACATCGGCCAATAAAGGAAATCACAGCCACACCCACCCGAACCGGGAAAGATATGTACGACGTACAATCAGAAAAACTGAAAGGTCACATCTCCCACCTGAAGAGAGGAACCTGAAGAATTATGAGGAGGAAGAAGAGCAGAGCCGCTTTGGGTTGAATCGACGAGCCCGCCATCGCTGATACCGAAGCAAAACTGAATCGGAGCTTGCCCTTTCTCGCAGCAGATGACACAAAAGGCTGCAGAATGTGATCTTCTCGCTCACGCCCAGCTCAAAAGCACACGAGGGATTCGAGCTTTGGCTCCAGATTCAGGGGCCGGAAGCCGGCTGCCTCGCAAAGCGACGCTGCGACAGGACGAGCTCTTTCTTCTTCGTTCCGCCCTTTCCAGTTGTTGCCCATATTCCTCCTCCGCCGCAGCCTTCTCCCGTTCGCGACCTTCCTCCACCGCGTCGCGCACGTGGAATCTGGTAGAATCCGACGACGCCCAATCAACCTCCTCGTCGGAGCGTCTGTCCTCTCCTCCTCCCCCGCTAAAGAGTCGCCTTCCTGCCGGTCGCGCGACGGAACCTCCCGCCCCCGCACCCGGGGAAGGTTGCCGTCCATGCCCACCCACAGTCCGGCGCGAGACCTCGGTGTACGTTGGAATGACGTCATGCTGCGAAATAAAGATTCCCTCCGCCCAACTCTGGGAGAAGCTCAATCCCCAACAGTCTGCTCTATTGTCCAAAGTATACTCAACTCAAGAGACAATACAATTTCCACAAACTCTAGGTCACAGCATCTTCCCCACTCTCTTCGGGATATCGTAGCTCAAGTCCCAGAATACTGCCGAGAGATGTTACCAGATTCCACCTCCAGCATGGCTTCTGAAAATCATCCAAACAGCCCTTGGCATTCATCATCCCTGGACGACTTGACTCGATGGTGTCTTTCCATCCGTCTGGCTGTATTGCTTGTCCCCCTTGCTGCAAGCTTCATCATGCTCCCGCACGAAGCGAAATTTATTTTGGATAATAGGTTGAATTTTCTATCCGTTTCTTTACATTGACGAGAATAATATTCTATGATTAGCAACTCACTTATATCAAATATGTAAATAAATCTACTCTCGAAGATATAATTTGATTAAGAAATCCTGTAATTTGCAAATCAAAAGTCCATTTTATGTCCGCCGGCGCAGACTGATGATCCTTGTGTTGTACAAATGTTGGAGATTGACTGAACGGACCGACGGGCTTAGTCGAGTCCGCCCGAGGCTGCGACGACGCGGTTTCCTTTCCGGAAGGGCCCAATGCGAGAGGGCGAACCCTGCGACCGGGCGCCGACACGATCTCGGTGTCCGAGACAGGCGGTTGGCTCGTCCCCTGGCGGGAAGAGTCTCAGTGCTGCCACTTCGTCCCCTTTCTGCGCCTCGTGTGCATCCAATCCGCGATAGGCGCATTTCGATTCGAGCTGGCCTTTGAGGCGCATTGTTCCTGTCGGTTGGCGCAGATCGCTTGCTTTCGTCGGCTCGAGGGCCTTTGCTTGCATCTTGACGATCTTGGTTCCTGATCTGGAGTGAGAGCAGCCCGCAACGATGGACGCCTCCGCCGTTGTTCAGAAGGTGAGGGAGATTTGTAGTTTGGGTGCATGTGAAATGTTGAATGTTGTGCATTATGCGGTCTTGCGTTGCGGTTTCTTGTAAGGGCATTTGGTTTTCTCGCTGCAAGGGCGGGAAGGGGCCGAGGTTTTGAGAGCAGGATGGTGATGGGACGGCGTGTGTTCGTCACCGACTGCAGGTGATGGAGGAGCAAGTGGTGCGGGTGGCGAAAGCCGTGGAGGAGCAATTGGATGATCAGATCGCGAAGTTGGACAATTTGAACGACGACGATCTCGAGAAGTTGAGAGAGCGGCGGTTACGGCAGTACAAGCAGCAGGCTGAGAAGAAGAAGCAGTGGGCCGCCCTGGGCCACGGAGAGTACCAGGATGTGACCGTCGAGAAGGAATTCTTCAGCATTGTCAAAGCGAGCGAACGAGTTGTCGCTCATTTCTACCGTGAAAACTGGCCGTGCAAGGTGCGCCTTTCACTTCCATCTCGACGCCTCCTTTCTCTTCTTGAACTTACCGATCATCATGTCGCGGCTCGCAACGCACATTACTCCTGTCTCGCCTTTGAGCTCCGAACTCTCGAACTAGTAACAACTAGTGATCGAGGTTGCCAAGGTATAATTCTTGTAATTTTGCATTGGAGATGAGTCTGTTCCTCAGCACTTCGTTCAGCACTCTGTCTCGTTAGGCTCCAGCACCAGCTTCGGAAGCGTTACTACCTTTGAATCGTTCGATGTTGCTTTCTCTGATTCACATTTATCAAACGAGATTAAAAGTTGAATCCCGATTTGGACAATATCTCATGTTATGATCGCCGAAGCTGTTTTATGTCGTATTCCAGGTTGTGGACAAACACCTCAATATATTGGCCAAGCAGCATCTGGAGACCAGGTTCATCAGGCTTAATGCTGAGAAAAGTCCTTTTCTGACTGAAAGATTAAAAATTTTCATGCTCCCAACACTGGCCCTCGTGAAGAATGGCAAAGTCGAGGACTACGTGGTATGAATAAATATTTCCCTCCGATGATTTTTCCAATACCTCCTGCTTGCTCTTCAACAGATGCAACTATAGCCTTATGCAGTCTTTGTTGCTACTACTTCGTTTGAAAAACGTGATTGTTCGAATGAGGCCTTCTCTGATATTTCAGCTTATTCTATCAGGTTGGCTTCGACGAACTAGGTGGTTCTGATGATTTCAGCACTGAAGAATTGGAGGACAGATTAGCCAAAGCCGGCGTGATCACGCTTGAAGATGGCCCCAAGCCTCAGTTGAGAGCTGGGGCGTCACAGTCAAAGAGAAGTGTGAGGCAAGGCGGTGCCTCAACAAGAGACGATGACACTGATGAAGATTAAGCACTTCATTGGGAATTGAGAAACATTGAGAAGCAGATTGTGGACCACAGACCTGTGTTTCATACTCCTCCAGTAACACGAAAGAGGTTGAGAAGGTACTTACCACATCAGCTGGTGCGTATCTCACACACCAGGGATATGTGCGTGATGAAGGTGATTATGTCATCGGAGTTCATCAGCCAGCTCTTCGGTATCCTTTGACTCCTTTTGATCACTATCTTGCGAGACGAGGCCATTTTCTCACGTAGTAAAGACCTTGGGGCGAGATGAAAACTATGTTTGGTCTCCAAGAGGGTCCTTCAGGTTTCGAATCAGTTGGATCATTGGGTGCGTCGAGGATAGCCCAAGATTCTTGAGGAGGAGAGAAGTGATGCTGCCGATTAGTGTTGTTAAGAATGAAGCAGCTGAAGTGGAGAGTAAAATTCAGTCCAGCCCGACAATTTAGTCACCGACAGCTTGTACAAATTGTACGTTCTATTGTTATCATAATGTCAGAATCTTCTGTTACTCGTCTTATTGCTGTATTCACCATGCGTCCTCCTATGGACTGGTTCAACTTGTCTCTGATAAGAGTATCAAAATAGGCGCAGCCTGTATCGCCCTCTGCACAGTCCTTGAAATTTTTCGCCGTGTACTGAGCTGTGACGAGTAGACTTGGGTAGAAAACATTATCATTGGAGTATTTGAGGACTTCGGTCAATCTCGTCTCCAACTTACACGACTCTGTCACTGCGCTGAGTTTGCAACGTTCACGGTATGGAAGAACCAAGAGGAAATTGTGTACAAGTCTACTGTGGAGATGACTCCTCACCAGCAGTTTCCAAAATTTCTGTTATAAATAAGGTTCAGTGTTTCATTCAGACTCTTGAAAGAGCTTGCAGCTCGTATGGGGAGAAAGAGACGAGTTTTGTGATGATTCTCCAACTTTACTGCCCTGGACCAAGATTTTAAGCTGTATGACGGGAATGTTGCATACTGCAGAGCTGAGCCATTCATTTGCAGATTCTCCTGTCCGCTGTCTTGCAAGAAACACTACTAGCCTCCGGATTTGCACAAAAATGCCTCACGAAAAATCAGAGATTTTTGTGATGAGTTGGAGAAACTTTCGCGCCCAAAACATCGGTCCATTCCTACTCTTTTGGCGTACGTCATCTCTTTCACGACGATACTTCTGCAGAGTCTTCGACTAGATAACTGCTCTCGCACAAGTGACGGTTGACACACTACGAGCGTGCAAATGTGACACTCCCCAAACGGATTTGGTTTAAAACTAGAACCTGCTTGTGTTCACTCCAGCTGGGTTGCAATCAACAAGAATGAATTTTCTTCCTCTCTTGGCTCCAGAGCATCAAGTCTCTAGATGCTAATCTCCTACAAACATCTATTAGCACGGGTGGTGTTGCAGGGGACTGCTTCCACCGTCGACTGGTGCCTCTTGGCTACAGCTACAAGAGTCAGAAGCAAACACACTGATCTTGCCGAACTCATCTTGTCGGAGGATCATCTTTTGTGCTGGACGTAGTTTCCAAACAAGCTGCGGGGAGGAAAGGTAGTGAAAGGGATCAGACGGCAGTCCGAATAATGGTGAATGGTCTTTTGGTTGCGGCATAAATAAGATGTCACATCATTTAAGCAAACCGAGGACTTCTGCAAAACGCCTGTCTGTACTTGGGGGTAAGCACCGAGTTTGGAACCGAGCTGGGATGAGAGCTCGAAGATTACGGCCCATGATTCTTCTTTCCGTTCTTGCAACTGGAGTTGAATGTACGTTTGATTTGATATAAGTCTCGTTTCTTGTCGAAAGAGGATTTCCCAGAGGACTATAAAAGCCTATTTTCCACAAATTTTCTGTTGTGATGATGTCCTCCTGCACAGTGTACTGCGCATTTCAGCTCCAACTTGTCGCCTGGGAGAAAACGGTTGAGAGGCATGGGCCAGGAGCCTCATGACGGTTTCGAATTTTCTGTCAACGCCATGAATATTGGAAGATATGCAAGAACGATGACCATTCAAGTGGAACAATAGATACGGTTGATCTCGTCGGCCGAGTGGAAAATATTTCTTTGATGCACACGACTAGCTACAGTTGAAAGTTCACAATCGTACCAGAATCACGCGTGTCCGTGAGGAGCCGTTCTGGAAAGATTGACCGACGGGCATTTGTCTTCACATAAAGTTATGTGCTTGTACCTTGAGGCTTATCCTTGTTTTCAAGAGGACGAGTGCACACTGAAGATTCTGAGTTGAAGATTACAGTTTACCACCTTGCATTCCTCCTGATTCAATGCAGTTTCCATTTGGCAAATGACCATCACGAATGTTGTACTATACTTCTGTAGCTGAGATATTACTGATTTGACACGGGCAGTGGTTATATGCTGTGCTCAACGCTGTCACCATTGTCCTCCTTCCGAGCACGTGAAACCATCTTCGCAGATGGAGAAACGTGTTACAGTGAACGAGCAGGTTCGGTACGATAAGCTTATTCGACAGAGTATGGTGCATCATAGATAGCCGGCATGCATGTACGTCAAGGAATGCATCCAGTCCATTCGTGATTCACCAGTAAATTGATGGACTAGTCGTAGTAGAGGGAAACTCTGAAAGATCTTGAAGGTGGAACTTCAACTCCTTAAGGAATGAATTTGGACATCTTGAGCATGTACCCGCTTGGTCAATGGTTGGGGAAGGTGTAGTAAGAACCGATCAGTCTAAAAATGGAGGTCAAAACTTGAGTCGGGGCGTTCACTGACTACTGCAGTGACATACGGGCCGACTACTACCAGAGATTGATGAACTACGTTGGAATGGGCAGTATTGCGTGGTGCATTGCGCCAACAGCCCTTGAATACTGAAAATTTCCTGCGTCTATCTCCAGAGGCTGGCAGAATGATAAAGCCAGTGATGCCCTTGCGCTGGAGAGGAGTGCATGGTTATCGTTAATAAGTGGAACCATGCATCAACCTATCTAGATCCTACCTTTGGGCCGCACGCAGCCACTTCTACATGATCCTGATCGTAATGGGTGGCCGGATATTCACATATGGCCCGAGAATAAATCATGCCTAGTCTTTACATGTGCTCATTTCTTCACCTCTGATTCCATGGGTGGAAATGGTTCACGCTGATTTACTTTGAAGCACTTCTACAGATTGCTCCTGGCGCAATTGCAGTTGCACCAACCTAACGATCTCCTCCCTTTCTTGTCTGGAGAAGTTGGACCGTTGGGCTGTTTCGTCTACTGCAACACGTTGGTACTTATGTGGAGGACGCCGAATGCTGCTGAGTTTCCCGGGGGTTAGACGCCTAAGGTTTTCCACCACATGTGCTGGAGCAGCACCGCAAGCCTTGGTCTGAACATAGTTTCGAGAATCCTTCGCGCCAAGGAGATGCTGGGACATGCGGGTTGAGTTGTACACGAATTCCCTATGGCAGTACTTACATCTTGCCATTTCCTTATGCTTATTATCTCCTGACTCAACTACGTAGCGATCAAAGTGCTTCTTCGCTTCTTTGGTATGTTCGGTTCTTGAGGAATGCGAAGTACCAGACTGAGGCTCATTTGGTTGCGTCTCCTGGCAGTCATCATCCTCGGATTGTGATACAATCTCTTCATGATCCCCTGTTGCGCTTGCGCGATGAACTACGATTCGATTATCCACAACACCCGAATCAGTGGGCTGCGCATCCACACAACCATCCATTCCAAGAGGTGATCAGTAAACGCCATTAAGCACTCTCATTCAAACCACCACTGGATTTTTCCACCAAAACATTGTCTCATATCAGCCAAGTTTCATGTTGGAGACTGAATAAAATGAAGTCCAAATGATTAGATTCTTGTCAAATTTGACAACATGAAATGTGGCAAATCCTAGGGGTCCCAGCCTCTCAACACCTTCAATTGTTTCCGCCATATCCTTCAAACCACATCTGATTTCCGCTTCTTCATTCCACAACCCGGAGCATCCACTAAGTCTGAACGGTTCTGGAGGTGTAATTCGCACTTACAGTGATAGTTATTGGATTGTATCAGTTGGTTGGTTGCAATTCAGAATGACAGGCACAACAACAACGTGATCTTCATGCTTATCTATTATCCGTAAAGTCCAACCCGTTGGATTTACACATCCTGTTCTTTTGAACATTCAGAAGCCAGTACAGGTGTCTCGAACATAAAGCATTGGATAACAATCAGCTTTTACATCGGTACATACATGCTTCAAATGAGAAGGAATTATAAAAGCTAGACTCAAATTGCAAATCTAATGCCGCATCATGCTTGCACTTTTTGATGTTGGGGGTCATCACTTGTACAACTTTATTCATAAACGATGTAGGATCACTGGACACACCTACACAGACGCTTAAACCAGTAGAACGTAGTTTACAGACCTGTCCTTTCTATACCAATACACTGCACGTTTGCAACATGATGGTATGGTATGTTGCTGGTATAACACACTTCCTACTATCATATCCCACCACCACTGAAATTCAAAGGTGCTCTATTACACAAGAGGAGTCTTAGAAAAGGGACAAGGTTCGAGAGCAACATGCCTCAACAAAACTTGCCTCTCATCTACACGACTTTTTATTATTCGCAAAATCAGGAACACTTTTGCTCAGCAAAATGTTGAGCTTCCAGGCATTACCGAATATTCACTTGATCGAAGGGGTTACCTTGGGGAAGTCCGGCTGTTTTTCAACGGTCGATTCTTGAACCAGTTCCAACTCGTACAAAGTATCACGAAGTCGCACCAATGTGGGAAACGGTGACTGTACGCAAGGCAAAATCAAGTCAACACATCTCACAAACTCAAGTACTAAACATGAACTATTTAGTCCATATACAAGAAGCAGAATTGTGGGTAAGTGACTAGTAGGAATAGTTCATAGTAATAAGACATATACTTCTTCAAAAGTTTCCACTCACCAAATCAACTTTGAACCGGTTTGCATTGTTCATTTGAGGAATCAGCAAGACATCAGCCTGCAGAGAAAGTGTTGCTTTGTCAAAAAGACAAGGCAATAGATAACATAGCCGAACCGCATCATCGCAATCACAAGACAGAAGGATGTCATGCACCTGTCACCGATCGTTGGAACAACGACTACCTACCAGTGTAATTTCATCTCCAAAGCAGTACTTCCCAGATGTTTTCTCCAGCATAGACTCTAAAGCTGCAGTCATCACAAAAGCCAAAACGACGATCTGCTTGTTACATACTTAAAAAAGTTCGGCTTCCTTTACTCAATTATACAGCATGTAATGTCCACAATCATCATCTTTTTAATTTTGTATATTACAGGAAGAAAGTAAGGCCCCGACAAGACCTGTGTTCTATGGACGGTAACATAACAATCTACCAGCTTTCCAGTACCTGTGAAACCACGTGTTATGTACTCTTGTGCCCATTCCAATCGAGCATCTGGTCCAGCTAGCTTCTCGATACCTTGCTTTACAATGCAAGAAGACAACACCATATTTAATTTCCGTCGAAACATTCCACGATAAGAACTAAAATCATACTATTTCCACAGCTTAAAACAAAGTCCTCACCATCTACTAAAATAACTCCTCTCTAACAAACGTAAGTGGTATTGTTGAGTGCTCAGCTACCATGTTAAGTAAATGGTTAAATATCTAAACCTAATTCCCTGGATCAAAGGTCTATGTGCATACCAGAACCCTGGCATTCTGGATAGGCTGTATACTGGACGCAATCATGTTTACGACCTGCGCACATACAACATCAATTTAGCATCTGTCTAACGAAGTATATATCTGCGCAATTCTTGAAAAAACTTAAGCGAAAACGAACCACAACAGGATGAAACACACAAATGATTCATACATTCACACGTTAGCAATCCTTCATAGGCACAGAACTTACTGTGCGAACTGCAGCCCTTTTCTTTAAATCAGATGGCAAAAGAGGCTTCTCTGGATACCTTTCCTCCAAGTACTGCAAACATCAAACAAATCGTAAATGTCATAACCTGGAAAATCATTACACTAATTCCTGGTTTCCAGTTACAGGACAGAACAGAAGCATGAAAAGGACACTGCACTCTAGATGAACCTATGGTCGTAAGACGGGTTTCAGGCAAGAGGATATAAATGCGTGAGAACCTTCACGGTGCGATCATAGACGGGGGCTTTATGACAACCAAAGATATGCAAATCCGACAGAAACGTAGACAGAAGTTGAACAAATTTGGCAACCATACCTCCAAGATGGCTATTGAGTCAACAAGTACATCGCCATCGATCTCCAGCACAGGCACCAACTGAAGAGGACTTATCTTCTTGAACTCTGCTTCACAGTTCGACGTCAATAATGGATCTTGAAGAAATTATGTAAATCCTGTTCTATGTGCTGTAAGTATATACCATTCCTTTCCCGCATACGGAAACAGTGATTGAATACACGCAAAACAGTTTGACTTCGGGCCAACCTAATGTATTCTACAAGATTACGCTGTAGCCATTAACGTCAGATTACTGTCTGAATTTCGATATGTTCTGCACATAACTTTCGCAAACGATACTACAATCAAAGTGGTCAAGACTTGATTAAAAGTTGAGCTGGACAAACAAGTACGGAGCAACCTCAAATATAATAGAGGAGGCTCCCAGTATAACGATTATTAACTGACAAAGACATAAACTAAGATGGACTCTAGGCCTACATATTGTTGGCTAAGTACGATGTAGAAGCACAGGATAAACAGAAACATTAATGCTTCTGCAATAAGTTCCTCCCTTCAAAATAAAACTAGTAATAAATTTGATGAACCAATAACAACCCAATCACTGACTCAAGGAGTCAAGGCAGGTATAAGCAACAATGTACATCAATGGACAAACCAACAGATCATTTTCAAAACTGAGAGCAGGTGTAAACATCCAACCCAATTTCAGCTCAGCTTAAGTGTGGGCAATAGCAACTGAATCATTGCAAAGTGATAATAAGGAAAGATTTCAAACTGGTACCTTCAGAAAGGTGCTCTCTAGTGAGTAGATTCCAAGACTTGTACTCGTATGGTATTCCTGCATGCAGAGATGCATTTGTGAAAGAGAATATCAATATAATTAGAGAAGTAGCTACATCAAATCCAATCCACGTTATCTAGCAGCACCAAATTTCTGCAAGAAAATTGTGAACTATTAGATATCTACATTCACTTGCATAATGCTCCCAACAGGCCTAAGATACATGTTGCTAATTGAGAGAAGTAATGAAGAAAGAAGAAATCAGCTTCTCCAAACCAAGCTTTCAAAACCTCTCGTCATCACCCTGGAAAATTACACAGTATTCGCGAAGGACAAGCAGACTTAACACGATCTGACGCGTAAAACTCGTCATAGGTCCAAGTTCTAATCACCCCACAGACTAAAATCTTGAAGGTTCTTGTAGGTTCAGACCTTTGAGTCCTAGAGCAAGTCGTACGCGCCAGCCACAGGAGCTATGACAGTAGGTATGCAGAACAACTTTCCCGCATTCGGCTTTTTCCTTATCCGCCTTTCCAGTATCAGCCATTTCTTCAAATTCTGTCAAAAACCGGTGAATCAGTACCATTCAAAATTCTTCGTCTTGTCAGCATCATACAATAAAAGTCCTCGATAACATAAAAGTCGTACTGTTCAAAAATTCATCGGCTACCGATTTCAACGCCTTGTTCCTTAACAGCTACTGAAACAATCAAATTGAATTTCTTGCTGAGCAGCAAAACACAATCTTAATCGAAAAGAACAAGCGACATTTCATGGTTCACATTCTTCAACAGATTGAGCGTGTAATAATCCTCAAAAATGATCATACGGAAATTATAATTTAATTGCTGTTTCGTCGAATCGATAGCGAACTCTGAGCTATGAATATCCCCAACTGCGAGCCAGCTGTGACTTATCCAAGAGTGATGGGTGTAGATGGAATCTTATACGAAAGAACATCAATAAGGAACTAGAGCAGATGTTAAAGGCGTTCCACACCTCCGAATTCAACGTTCTTCCTGCCCACCTTTCAGCACGGCCCTAAATAATGTGGAGTATTACTCAAAAAATTGTAAACTTGGGAATTATTCACTCAATCTCTCCCGCGAGCATAAATGTCCAGCAAGCAGCCGATCCGAATTACTGCATGCGGTGTTGCTAGTGTGACTCATCTGAACACGATGCTTACCTGGACAAAATCTGTTTGAGCAGCGACCGCCGAGGTAAAAAGTGATGATGGATTGGACCCCTGCCACTTCCCGGGATACTGTCAGCACTCTAGGGCACTCGGGCACACTTTCAGGATGCAGCAACAGTACAAGAAGAAGCTCAAAGCAGAAATTCGTCCCAACCTCGTCAAAAAGATATCCAAAAATCAAGTGGACATATTCACCTACATGCAACGAATGACCTACGGAACGGGAACCACGCACTGTACGAAGTCAGTCAGTGAGTCACTGCCTCGCTCGCTAGACAGCCAGAACTGATGAGAGGAAGATCTCACGAATCCGTAACAAGTGTCTGGTCAGAGAATATTTGTGGATTCCTCCAGCCAGTCTGCACTGGTCTGACCGAAAGCCTCCACCCTGTAGGACACGTGAGCTAGGCCATGAAATGCAAGCGGTACCCTAATTTCAGGGCGACGTAAGGGGATCTGCGAGAGCAAACAAAACCTTTCAATCCGATGTCTTTGGCTCGAATCGCCCGAAAACAAGGAAATCATTCACAGCTGGACTCCCGAGTCCTAGTTTCCATCCATCTTTCTGGTTTATCTCGTTCTGGACTGCAGTGCAGTTGACTGAAATGGACTAGCCCGTCCTGGCCTGGCCGGGTGCATAACTCTCACTCACCCACTCGCTCAGCCCGGCGGAAAATCTCCCTTCCTTGCTCACAACTGATACCTAAGTCCCAGACCCGCCTCCCCTTTACCCACCCCCTTCCCATTTACAAAGCGGCAGAATTCAGCTTCTCCTCTTCCTCGCCCAGGCTTCCATTGTATTATTACCTCTAAATATGGATATTTAGATGTAAGAATACACTGTCTTTTAATCCTTAAATCCTGGCTCTGTAGAATTGTGGGCCAGCCAATGACGGAGCCCTGTACCTGCAGTCCTTCGAGAAATCTTTCTTTTCATCCGGTCCTATCATGTATACACGTGCTTTCCTATGTCTCGAAATCACAAACTTTGTTTAAGACTTTCGTTGTGGAATAATCGATGGAGGATTGTGGATTTGTGAATGTGTTGGTGGTTGTGGCTACATCTAATCAGGAGTATGATTCGGGTGAGCTTTGCAATTGTGATGAGCATTTTTCGAGCATAGACTCTTCCTCTGATCAATGTTAGGTGGAAAGAATCTTGCCCTGATGACACTTTTGGGGAGAAAATCTTGATGTACAACGACTTCGAGGCTTTTCAATAAACTGTCGCCAGTTGAGATAAAGGAAAACCAAAAGTCCTCATAGAATCCGATCTCGATGAGAAAAGACAACGACAAGTGGAATGAGTGGAGGAGTCGGTATGACATTGAGAGCGTTCAATTCTGTGTTCCTCACAATCATGTCTTCACTTGTTGGGCAATTTGTCACAACATTACGATCAGGGGTCATCTTCTTCAAGCACAAAAGTTCGTGGAGCGGCGACGCATGGAATCCACAGCAACTCCATCCCAGCAAAGCTAGCCAAGCAAAGGCCGGAAAGAAACAGTGTTCCAAGTCGAGAGGAAACCAGGAGACCTGCTCGCACTCCGGAAGATCATCGCCATATCTGTTTCGGATACTCTTTAATCCCTTGCATCTACATGGGCTGTAGATGTGGAGGAAGCTCACCAGCATGCATTTCTTATGCAATCATTTGCACCAGAAAGATATAGAAATCGTCATCTCCAACATTGTCTAACCCAATGCATGCACAAGGTGATGAAGATATGTCTACGCCCATGGTCCGCATTCACATGTATAACATGAGAGTGAGAAACCTCTTCTAAAAACAGGTTAGGGAACGGTGTCCCCGTAGCAGGATGGATTTTAAGAGGTCCCCGGGTTGTGACATGAACCTTAGTTTTGAAACCTGCCGTCTATGATCCAGCATAACGGGCGAAAATTTGTAATGGAAGGTGTTCGTTTGTAAAACGTTTCTTTTATAATTGGAGCAGAAAGTCTATCCTCATAGTAGGTAAAAGAAATTTAAGAAAATTTCAGTAAATTGAAAAACTTGTCTAGTTGGGTTTGTGTATAGTTCAATTTTGCTTATGAGTTGAATATATGGAGCGTAGATAAGCTAGAGAATCAATTCGGGTTGGAACAAAAGTGCTTTGGAGTAGCCAAAGGTTAGTGTGTGTAAAATATATCTGTACTTTTCTATGAAGTAAGACGTTAACTGTCTACGGTAGATACTTCAAGCCCATGGGACCCAAAGGTTCAAAAGACTAAAAACACATTACAAGTCAAATTCCCCTGACTAGGGAAAAGAGTCTAAAGACAAATCCCTAACTAGTGCCTAGAGCATTAGAACAAAGAATAATAATGTTACTGATATAACAATCTAAATCATAAGGCACCAACTATAATAAAGAATATAAATTTTCACATCTAACTTATGAGCTAGTTTAATTTCTTCATAGCTTGGACATGTAACAAACACATGCTCATCATCATCAATATTTTTTCTCCACATAAACTACAAATTTGTTTATTTTTATCAATATTTAACTATCGTCATTCTTCCGTTCCAAGCTTATGAATTCATGTTTTATGGCGTGCAATAATATGATGTCAGAACGGGAAGATATTCACAAATAAGTATATTTTTTCACAATTTACAAACATAGGATTAACATTAAGTTGATTAAACTGCATTTTGATGATCTAGTCCAAATAATGTGAATAAATTGCTCTTGTAGATGCTCGCGGAGGTCCATCGGTTGCAAATCTGGATCGCATTTTGCCACATTTCACAAGTCACTACATCTAATAACCATCATATGAAACGTTTGATTCAAATAGCTTGAAATGTAAGTGATGATAAGTATAACATTTCAGTTTCTAAAGGAGTACAACTTGTTTCTGCAAAAAGAATAGCATAAGGAGTTTGGAGTTTTACACCCATACTTCCAGTAAAAGGATCTTTTGCACCCTATTAACGCGCTTCCAACCAACTGTGTGAATTATTTTGATTATTGATTAAATTGCTATGAGGTGTAAAGCTTCATTATGGAGTGCAGCTAAAATTGCTTTATCAACTTGGAGATGATTTCATGGGTATTGGAATTTTATCAAGTATCAAAATAATTGATTTTTTTGTCAAAACTAGCAAATTATTAGAATATAAGGAGGGAACAATTTATGAGGAATTTTCATGGATTACTTTACTACTTAGAAAAATTTAGATTGACATTGAATAAAATCAAGTACATCAAAAATTTTTTATTGAATATTTATTTTTTGGAAAAGTTGCAAGAAAGAAAATTTTACAGCCATAGATTAAAAAAACTTTCATATGATATATATATTATAGGTTCTGGTATTATTTCAAATGCCTAGTATCATATGATTTTATATATCTTGGTCAGAGAATTTTTCTCTTGTTTTTTATTTAAATGGGGCTTTCAAAAACTAAATATGTGTTGGAATTAACTAGGATGGATGGACAAAAATCACTCATTACTCCATAGACGTATGAGTCCATTTTAAACTTTGCTACATGCACATGCGATTAATAAGCAGCGTGTGTGTGCACTCTTTATATATATATATATATATATATATATATGAAAATTCTGGAAATATTCGTACAAGATTTTGAATTGGTTTTATTGAATATATTTCGGAAGAGATCATTCTTTTCGGAAGATTTAAAGTTTCACATGTCCAAAGATATCAAAATCTTCTTGAAACCACATATCAAAAACCTCTCACACCTTATAATGAATTATGGAATAACTAAGAGGATACTGCAAACTTGCAGATGTTGTTAATTGTAACGTATATGTGATACGTGCATGAAGTTCATAGCAAGGATCGAGCTCACCATGGCATCCAGTGTCCATAACTTTCACATCACTCTAACAACACTCATAAAGCCTACGTCTTGAGTTTTGTATGGTCTCTCTCTCACCATCTTTCCCATTCTAATTTCGAGCAGCCGTTAGACTCTGCAATTCGACAATGACTCCGCACCAACGCGAAAACTCAGGAATTTCTCGTTCCAGGTCTCGAGGATTGAGGCAGAAAGCATAACCCAGACATTTGTCGACAGGCCGGAAGAACTTCCACGAAAACTCATGCGTGATGTTATGGGGCCGAGCCATATTTACCCATCTTTCTAAATTGGTATCACCCACGAGCGGCTCGATGGGGTCGTCCCATACTTTTTGGGGATGTACTCTTACGGAGTCGAAGCAGCCCAGCGTCTCTCGTACGGCATATTCCTCTTACTAGGGGACAAAAAAAATTGCGATGCTGCCAGGAGGATGATACTGGGAAGACATATTGATTCCAGGGCAAGAAGAGAGAGACCAAAGCGGGGGATCGGAATCGCGAAAACCAAAGCGCGCTGCAGAAGAGAGGTCGTCGCTGAGCCACAGGAGAGGTGAGGTGGGGTGAAGTTTCCGGGCGGTCCTCACTGCTAAGAGAGATTTGATGTAGTCCAGGACAATCTCCACGAAATCTGGAGAAACTGGAGTCGCAAACCGGATCTTCGAAATGACCACGTAAAGGCCGTCCTTTCCAGGTCAGCCCGAAACCTGGCGACAATCCTGTTCATACTAGCGGACATTGCTGTACGTGGGCGCGTATTTTGCTCCTAACCGGACTCTGTCGTGACGTGGAGGCCGGACATGTCCATCCACATCCGGATGGGTGCACATGCATGCACGCACCTCCTCCCCCACCGCCATTCATGGAGGGCATGGTTCCGTTTCGGAAGGAAGAAAGAGGGACGAAAAGCGGAGAAAGTGGGAAAGAGAAGAGGAGCACCTTCCAGGGTCGGGGACACGGGTCGGGTCGGCATGAGGCGGCTCGGGTCAGGTCCGGAGGGAGGCACGGAGGCGGGAGGGATGACCGCTCGGGCGCGTCCCGAGTACTGCGAGAGCCTGCCTGCGCTGCGCTGCGTTACTATCCATCCGGTCAGAGCTGTTCGTTGTTCTCATATCCTTCCGTTTCGCCTCATCTGCGCGTCCTTCTCTTCATAGTCTTCGACCTCACGGCACGATCGAGCATTTCAATCGGTGGGAGCTTTGGTGTGGAGTTCAGTCTGAAGTCAAGAGTTTGGGGAGCCCGCGCTTGCGTTGCTGTGCTGTGCGGTGAGGGCGGTGTTCTGATCTCTGACATCGTCTTTTCCTCTCGGAAACCAGCTTGGAGATTTCGAGGTTGTAGGCCTGTCTTGCTGTGTCTGCCTGCTGCCTGTGTTTCTGGTGGTGGTGGGAGCGTAGGTGCCAAGATGTCACGGGAGAACAAGGTGAAGCTGAAGTCCTCCGATGATGAGATGTTCGAGGTCGATGAGACTGTGGCTTATGAGTCGCAGACTGTCAAAAACATGATTGAGGACACTGGTACGGACAATCCCATTCCTCTGCCTAACGTATCGAGTAAGATCCTTGCCAAGGTAATCGAGTATTGTCGATATCATGTGGAGTCTCAGAAGATCTCGGACGAGAAGCCGGCCGTCCCTGAAGATGAGATTAAGCAGTGGGATGCTGAGTTTGTGAAGGTGGATCAGGCCACTCTCTTCGATCTCATCTTGGTAAGTGTTCCCTCCTTTTGCTGAGATGAAGTAATTGCTTTCTCCTTAGGCATGCATCGGGTTTAACTGGCTGGTAATGTTCTTCCAAGTTCCTTCCCCCTTGTTTTCTAACTTCCTTCTCGTATGTCATGATCGGCTGGTCACTGCAACTCGTCAAATAGTATTTCGCGGTCGGTTCCAGCAAGTTGTAGGTCTGAACTCGGTTTACTCGAGTGTAAGTGAGAAACTGTGAGATAATCGATAACCATCAGACCTAGATGCGGTCTACATACAAGGGCATCTAGGTCCGATTAGTATAAAGAGGGGGAGTCTAGAGTGATGCAATCAGTCTCTGTTGAAATCAACTCTTTATACCTCTCATATCAAACTTTACTCTGTTTCGATAAGCCTATATTGATCAATATGTTCTACCTCTCATATCAAACTTTAGTCAGTTTCGTTAAGTCTATATTGATCAATATGTTCATGAGTAAGTATCTTTGATAGGAGAATCATGATTACCACAGTAAATATAACTTCCACATAGTTTAGTAGGAGGGTAAGATGATGAGAGAGTGTAGGACATCAATAGCATCGTGGTGAATCGATAGATTTGGTTGGGGATTTTGAAAATCCGGCATGCGCGGTTGAGGCTTGAGGGTGTGTTCTTTACGTGTCTTGTCATTCAGTTATATCACTTGTCACGTGATATCAAGACATGTTGAATTGTGACGTGGTTATAAGCCATGTTGAGTATATCTTCTTTGCACTGTTTATAGCATTAAATCACGGTAATCCTATAGTTCCAGAACACCAAGTGTGAATCTCGATGCAGAATAGACTAACTTTAATTTTTATGCAGTAATATTGTATCATTCATACTTTTATATAATAATAATAGTAGTCGATGAACTTGGGTGTGACGTGTCATCGCAACAAATATCGTTTTCTATCGTGTTTTGATTGATGTAATCCAAGAATGAAAATTTTCAATTTAAAGTGCATATAACTTGATATCATCTTGTATTATATATTGATATTATCTACTTATAATTATAACAATCAAGGTGAAGGACCTGATGAGCTGTAAAGTATTTAAGAGTTTGATCAGGAAACATGCATTTCGTATCACAAGGAGTATATATTTAAACTGCAACAGACCTCCTTGTTCACAAAAATACTTATCTTTCTACCCACCATATTCTTTAATTGTTGTAGACGTGTTTTCTGTATAAAATTTTCCCACCTAGTTACGCCCTCGCTTAAGAGAGATTATGAGCATTCTTTATTGCATGATGACGTGTAACCCTCCACGCCATGATGCAAGTTCATCCGCAGAGATATATTTACTCGAGTTCAACTGCCCATATCATAGCATGCACAAAGTAGAAGAAGTTGAGTTGATTATTGTGGGACTGGAAGTAGGTGAAAGTCTAAACTTAACATCTTATTCTGGTCAAGCACATGCACATTATTTCTTCCATATGGATTCAGAGCACCATTGTAATAATATCTAGAGAAGTGGAGAGTCCGGAAGGATTTCTTCCATATAGGTTTAGAGCACCATTGTCATAATATTTAGAGAAGAGGAGAGTTTAAGGATTAACGGAATATGTTTGCAAGACATAGCAAAGATAGAACGATAGGTTGTGATCTTGATTTTCTGGATGATGGTGCACAGTTAATTGAATTTACATTATTCAGTACAGTATGCGATATTGGGCTTTCATACACAAAATATATTCAGGACTATAAGTATATTATTTTCCCCATTCTCTCGTAAGTTTGTCCATTTTTTTTTATCTATTAACTATCTGACAGTCTTCTACAATGATACATTTACAGCAGGCGCCTTACATAAGGTTGCCAGGCAAATGTACTGGTGTAATTTGTATCAATCAAGAATAATATCAGAGATCACATCATGTTGTTTTGTTGGTGATGGCAAAGGTTGATGCTTTTCGCGCGTCAATGTTTGTGCTGCTCTTTGAAACTAGTCAAGCATGGCGGGTCGTTCCCCAGCTTGATCTTTTCTTGATATCCTTTTACAAAGTTTTTTTTTCTTTCTTCTTTATACAGCCGTTTACATGTCTATCTGATTTTATGCCTTTGGTGACGGTCCATCTATAATGATGTTGACTAGCATAGATCTCACGGTGCTTACTTAGCGCTTGGAACTAATCTGCCCTTGTAGTATATTAGCGTATAGTTATTGTCGGGGTCTTTCAGGACAACACCTTTCACATGTTGTACTGATCGGTATGACTTTAATTTACAAGCTCGCCAAATGCCTGGAATACAGTGAGACAATTTTCCATGTATACAGTGAGCCTTCAAAAGCCTTCGAGATGTGATGTAATTTGCTATTTTTCGATATTTCACATAGGCATTCTTATTCAGGTACTTTATCAGTTGATGTTATTCAATGCAGCTTTGCTCAGTGTCAAAGCATTGAGAAGGAGGCTGATTCGTTTTTGGACTTTGTGATTTTTGAATACAGGCTGCAAATTACTTGAATATCAAAAACCTCCTGGATTTGACATGTCAAACAGTGGCCGATATGATCAAGGGTAAGACTCCAGAAGAAATCCGGAAGACGTTCAACATAAAGAACGACTTCACGCCAGAGGAGGAAGAAGAGGTTAGAAGGGAGAATCAATGGGCCTTCGAGTAACTTCGTGCTCACAGCGGCGGTAGATCTCCGTTCTGACTAGACTTTATGGAGCCTCTCCCTTGTGACACAACTCCATAAGACATAGTATTAAGTGATCTGAATGCCGCCAGAAGTTTTCAGTGGTTTTCATGTAAACCTCTTCGCATCTGAAACATGGCGGAGCAGAAACAAATTCACTGCGCGAGGATACTTTCGTTGTGTCCGAGTGTTCTTTCCGTCGTGTTGATCTCTTGTTATGGTTGACGTTGCACATTCTAGCCGTAGTCAGTTATGTACAGTCTACACACCCGGCCTATGCCTCCATCGTGGAATCGGGGACAATCTAAACTAGGACATGGGCGTTTTCTCTCATGATGGTTGCACTCTTTCGCGCTGTCCTTTATTACAGTCATTGACATGAAAGGAAGATTTTGACGTGCTAGCACTTGCCGTGTTAGAGTGATCGAGGGCTAGGGCGATAACAGCTGAAGAAGTTGTCCCAATAGTGTAGCCATGCTCCTCTTTGTAAGGTTGACTTTTCTCCTTCTATAATACAGTAGATGATCTTTTGTTGGAAGTGTTTGAAACATGCTTTTCAGTACAGCAAAATCGTATCGTAGTTTTATATTCGTTTGAGTTCTTTTAAGTTACAAGCTTCAGGCGCCGCCACGGCAGAACGTAAGGTAATCACGGTTTTTCAAATCTAAGGCTGGTGCGGGTTATTGATCTTTCGGTGTTTGCTTACTCTAAGGGTTGTCCAATTCGACTTGCCTTGTAAGATATAAGATATACAAATTTGAATCTAGGATCAGTACATGGAGCTTGCTTAGAAACATTTGCGGACAAACCCTTGCTTTCACATTTTGGACGAGGGTGATTGATGTATTCACAAGTCTGCTCCAGTACGACAAGCTTTTGAACTTGTGAAATTGGTATTTAGTCCAGGGCAGTCGCAAGGATCCGCAATCATAAAATAAAATTGGTTGCCCAACAATTCAGACCCTTTCCTGATTGCAGTTGATGTTCTGGTCACACTGGTGAGAAACTTGCTGTCTGTCACTTATCTTCAAAAGGGATTAAATCTTCACTTTTGTACACACGATTCTGTACAGTGAAGAACACCCATTCGGTCGGTCAACGTGCATAGGAGCTGACGGTGTGAGTCATACCGTCACACCGTACGATCGACCATAGCTAGTATAATTAGAGCAAAGCAATCCTGACTTTCTTACGACGAGATATATTTAGGTATGAAAGAAAGAGCATTAAGTTCTTGTCTTCTGTCAAGCCAAGTTTAGATTGCACGGTTTGTGTTAGAATAAACTCAAAGGAATTTTGATCATGTTATCTCTCAAGTTCTGAAAGATGGGGCCATGCAGAGGGCATCCATACGCACGTATGTTCAATTGCGCATGATTTTCTTAAGAACAAAACATATATTATTATATGCTCTCCGTTCGATCTATACTTCATCCCGATGTTGACTTACATTGCGAACGAGTGAGACAAAGTTATATTCCGCTCAGTAAGACCCGATACATTGTCCAAATGAAATTTACACATTTTACACGATAATTGGATCAATAATCAAATGATCTCTCAGAATGGATAACTGTCAAGATATTGAAATGTTTTTTAATTGAAATTAAAAATCTTAAATCATTAAGCCTAAAGAAATTATTCCATAAGATAATATAGAAAGAATATCTTATAGTGTAAAAAGTAAAAACCGAAAATCATCCTTTGTATAATAATTTATTTTGGTACCAGAAACCTAACATATTTACAGAACTAAAACAACTTTTTGATTTCTATACATGAATAGTTAACACATGCAAGATTGTACTAATAATCCATATCTCTCACCGAGCGTGAACCTCGTCGGTTGAAACTAAAGGTCTAGCCTCAAGTTTGATTCTTTCATCCATGTTCTTTGTGTTGGATTCCCCTGATATTTTTTACTGTAATCCTTGGACGTTGATTGGAGAGATTCTTCATCTTCCATTTACCATTTACCATATACCTATTTGCAATCACTTGTCTTTGGCACAATGAGATAGACCTGCTGAACGATCTTTCCACGACTTTTCATTGCAGAAGGCGAATCCTCCACTGAATATGTTTGTTGACCTTAACGATAGCTACTTTCTACATGGGTCGTGCTGTCGTGTCGTGGCTGCACAAGCTGGAATGTACAACGACCACTCATGGGTCCCTTCATTTATTTCAACCTTCACAGTGCCTTAACACACTTTGTAAAGGTTGGATCACGATGTAAAGGTTGATTTCGTCGGATTCTCTAACTGCTACGCGCAAACACACCTCGACTTCATGCTTCTAAGCCTCTCAAAAATTTTGATCTACGGAATTCGAGATCGAAGAGTAAATGCAGGTTTATTTGTTCATGCATATTAGCATCCCTCGGCCTAGTTCTAAGGTTATATATTACTAAGGGACACACTCTAGTTTTTCAAGCGACTGAACATGCTACCGAAGAGAATCTTCGAAAACGAATTTCAATTGCGATAACAAACGAAAAATGGCCGGGGCCTGGCAGAAAACCGTGCAGGGCTCAATGCGCTGTTCCACCCATAGTACAATAGAGAAGTAAATTCACAGAATTTCGCTACAAATACATATCCTCTGTAAATATACCTCACATAAATCAACCCATATGTGCAGCAATTTTAACGCTCTTTGTTCACATGTTTTCAACCCACAAAAGCAATCCCGTGAATACCATGACACGAGTCCTAGGCCCTGAAATCCTTCTTCCTAAAAACACTCAAAAGTCGTGGACAACTCTATCAACGTTTGCTCTGCTCAGAACAGTGGACGTATGTCAAGTCTGAGAGCAGAACAGGACTGGAGCTGGGTATGATTTTCTTTAAATAGGTGAGCTTGGACAAGACATGCTCAAATAATTATTTAAGTCAGCTCAGAACACGCCGAAAACTTATTCAAACTTTTCTCGGCCATCCTTCTGGTTTTGGGCTTAACACCGAGTAGTGAGACCTGTAACCAGACTGGATACAAGAAATATTGTTGTTCGAACAGTGAAATCATAGTCAGGAGAGGAAATATTTTTTTAGAGTCGCAGTAATGCCAGCTTCTATGGCACTTCCATTCGAACTCTTCACGTCCGCAATGAAAGATTTGCTTGTAGTTATTCAGAAAGATTTGTAGGCTTCAATTCCCTTAAACCGAGCTTCACTGTCTCTCACAGACCAGAGTACCTTTCTTGAATTCCATCGCTGGGGCCACTCATTTGCCTACGTCTCGACAGCAGATTTACTAACAGAATCTAGAGTACTGAGATCAGAGCACGCGAAGAGATGAAAAGTCAAAAGCGCTTCATATCTCTTGTTAAGAGCGTAAACTTTAGGCTGTGGAGCGCTAAATCTCGGGCCTACTCCATCCCAGCCCATCCGTGAAACACAGCATTTCCACATAGGGACGAATAACAATGAACTTGTATCCGAGAATTCTCAAAAATATGTGATTTACGTATGTGTGCATCGTAGAAGTAAGACATAGGTAGATCATATTAGGAGATCATAATGGTTACTACCTGAATAGAGTAATCTGACAGGCTTCCGTGCCTTTCTATCCTTCCCTGGTTTCTTGTAATCACTTCCATATTCAGCAATAGGAATGTACCCACCGCCTCCTCGATATCCCCGATTCTTTGCCTACAATATAGGTCACATAGACAAATTTGAAAAAATAAGACGAAAGAAGAGTAGGAAGTTAACTCGGTAAAGAAGTTCGTTTGGTGGAGAACAAGAACCTAACCTCCAGGCATGTTCACTGTTATTGGTCGCGAATTTGATCACTACAATTATTAATCTTGATCAAACTCACGAAGTACCAGGAAAACTATTTCAAGAGAAAAACGTTTGACTCGAATGTTTTACAGGACCTCGTCTTCAATCTGGATGCATCCAAGCAGCCAAACACAAAACGATTTAAGCATACTAATAAATATCAGTCACAGTTATCAAATACCTCAGATTCAGGAATATAGACGATGATTGGTTGGCAACACATTTTGGAAAGAACCTGTGACAAACAAAGTTTAGTACTATAAAACGAATTACACCAGCAAGCTGGGAACAAGAAAAGAAAAACATCATCTCAGAAACACGATGTCCAACAAGAATCTATATTCTTTGGAATCAAACTTCCTAAATATTCAGTTTTTTAACAAGGCAGAGACAATCAGTGTCGATCTTCTGATCTACCCTTGAAATATGCTTCATCCGCATTCATGCCTAGATTTCAGTGATTCAAGAGGGCTAAGGGGATTCGTGCTTACCAAAAGCTCGGATTCACCTCCCCAGAAACTTGGACTAGGTATCCTTTGGCAATATCTGTAATCAGAACGACCAGTGAGCTAGCCACAATTTAATCAAGGAACTTCTTTCAAACTGTCTGAAGATTAAAAAAACGTGATCACCATAGTGGACGATTCCGTCTCCCACTTTCAGAAGATATATCTAAGTATCATCAACAGTCAACAAAAGGCTGGCAAAAAACCTACCTCTTTAGTGATTCTTCAACTGTGATGGCAATCAATGCCTCCTCGTAGATGTGACTTCGCTGATCAGGCGTACAGATCGCATCCATTACAGCAAGACGTAATTGATCTGAAGCAAACGAGAAAAGTGAAATAAGTAACAGTTTGGCAAAGCGAAGACTCATGGCATCAGATCTGACCCTGGATGTTACCTGTTCATTCTGCACCCGAAGGATGCAGAGTGGACATACCTGTATACAGAAACGGTGGTTTTCATCAAACAAATATCACGTCTTATGGCAAAGAGGCTCGTCTGGATACGGCATTACCTCCAACGGGTCAAAACCTAAACATGTATGCTCTAGAGATGACATGCTCCTTCAATTCTTGCACATTCCGTCCAGACCTTCCTAAACAATGACATCCTGCTACATCCGATTATCTCAATCCGTCCTGTTTCTCTTCCAGCTTTTAGCTTCATCACATTTACTTCTCCTCCACAGTTTCTCACCACTCAGGCCGCTCATGGGGCTGAAGTTTCGACGGCAAATTGCGATTGAGAAATTGTACAAGAATGCCATAAACGATCCACATTACTATTCATCGTGAAGAATACACGTTCTTTCACTTGCTCACTTTGGTGTACAATACAAAGTTTCCTGCTTGCGTGAAATCGTAGATACTGACAATCCGTGTTAGACTGACCACTGTATTTTCTACTTCCCAAAAGTCGTATTTCACTTCGGAATTCCTACAACTTTAGTGACTTTCGCTTCAGACGAAGAGAATGAGCAGCTACAATAATACATCTGAGAGATAATTCCTCTTCGCGGTCTTGAGACAACACATATCGAATTGATGCAACTTCACCCGTCTAGTTTTTCGTAGTTCAGGGAACGAAAGATTTATCAACGCATGTTCGCAGAACATCCTCAGCAGGCGGCTCTGCCTCCTAACATTGTGGGGTTTCTCGCGTGAAAGTTGAAGATATGAGGTTGCACTTGTAAGTAAGCATCAACATACGCCCTACCTCGCTTGCAGGTTCGGTTCTTACAAATAATCCTCCTTCACGAATATGTACGATACTTCAATGCTTAACTTGGGTGATTCGAAAGAAGATTGACACCTCGTACGCATCGGCCGTCGGGGTATATTCCGTGAAATTAGTGTTTATTACGTTTCCAGTGGAGATGCGTGGTTTGCCCGGTTTACTAATTAGCCTTCGGTTGTTTTCATTCATAAGGTTAAGTTAATGTTACATTGCGCAGATCAATTCCAAACCCCGGATTCCGCTGAATTTGTACTACCTACAACCTGTAATTCTCTGCATCAAAAGGACCTGAATTGGCTTGCTTTTTCACAGATTGTGTTCAAATCGATTTGACGCCTGAGTGCAGAAAACTGTGGACCTTTTGAACACTGAAGCTTTCCTCCAAACTTTCTGCTCCGCGAACCGCAGCGCCTTTCTTATCGTACTCGTTTTCTCAATAACTCATTATCTCAATTTCGTTATTCTGGCCTCCCCTAGTGCATCTATCTGCAGAACCTCTCGCAATTCTCGGAAGAAATTTGAGGGAGGGTCTGATCTGACCCCATGTGATTCCCGGTTACAGCACGAAATTATGGTTGTGTTTCCAGTCATTCAGGACAAATATATCGTTCCAACTTTGTGATTGGCATCACGCTGACGCACAGATAGTGTGAAATCATTTCTCAGACAAGGTTACAACAATCAAATCAACGTAAATGTAACCAGAAACAATCCGAAAAGTACTCTTCACTTGAATAAGTTGACTCACCTGCTTCTTGTTCTTCTTCCATGTAGCTTAAATTTTGACCCTTGTTTGTAGCCATCCCTACCACCTGCGTCCGACCCAAAACTTGACTTTTAATTGGCGTTTCAAAAGAGAATATTGATGAACAGAACAATTGATTCGCGGAGAAAAAGAGCCAGCTAGAGGCATGGCTTCGCACCGAAAATGATAAGACCGACAGCATGATACATGGTAATTATAAGATACATCCAGCACAATGTAGCCTAAAATGCTGCACCTTGACACGGTCGGAGTCCTTACAAGAGCCCGAAACATGCAGCGGCCATCTCCGGATATTCGCCTCACGGAATGATACTCCACTTTCTTCATGGCCGGTGAAGTTCCATGACTGCAATTGACAAGCAAGGCTCTGCTCCTCAGTATCCCATTCTCAACATGAAACAGCATAAATCTCACAGAATGATCGAGAACTTCTCGCGAAGATATCCAGCTGATGTACAAAACTGCAGTTTCGAATTTCTAGCTTTGGATTGCGTGATCATGCGATTTTGATTGCTTCAAGATTCGACTCTCGTGATGAAATTAAAATGGCCCAAAAATGAGAAATATGCTGGGGAGCAGACGACACAATCAATCCATTTCCCACCTACCTTGCATGGTGGTGCCCTCCACCAAGTGGTGCAATTCGGGCGAAAAACGACGTGGGTCTCTTCCGCCGGCTGGAAAAAGCGGCGGAAATGGAAGCGAAGGGAGCGCCCGCAATGTCCCACTCTTCCGTCTCCACATACTCGAACCAGGCAGAGCCATCTGCTAGCTGATCGAGCACGCGCTCTGCAAACAAAAAAACCCACGTGCAGCTAGGCTGAAACCAAGCGCTCACACCCACTCAACAAACATCGAATCCCAGATGAGCCTTCTCAATCTACCAATTCCGCCCATCGCATTCTAGAAAAAGCACAAGCCATCACTCCGACAAAACCCCCATAATCAAATGCGGTATCCCATCCCGTCCCACCCAGCCCTGCCTTCATCCTCACCCGGACGAATTGGCTCTGCCACAGCCATGTCGAACTGCGCGACGACGCGAGCAGTTCCAGCGGAGGACTTGGATGAGCGAAAAGCGATCGACGAATCGAGTTCGGAGCCTTGTGAGAAGACAGAATTGATTCTCGGCCACAAAGGGAGAGTAGCGAGCGTTGGGGGACGAAAAGCCAGAACCATGTCATCGGTAGGTCCATCGTCGGGACTCGGAACGCGGTTCCTTCGGACCTTCCGCTCGTCAATGGAACGTTCCCGTCCGCGTGCCCGTGGAGCGCATTCATGACTTCCCTTTGTGGTAGGAAGAAAGTTCCGTTGTGTTTACCTCTTCTCCATCCTCGGACCAATGTTGAAGTTATTCGAATTCATCATTGGTGTGGTTTCAAGTTGACGTTGCCAAATCTAAACGATTTTGCATTGTCATGAACAAAAATTCTTTTATTTGAGGATGGTTTAATCCTTTTTGCATGTCTTACTTGAAAACTTGTTTGCACATTGAGGTAGGAACCGGAGAAGCACATCCAATCTACACTCTCAATATTGATTTCACATAACGAATTGCCATCAATTACCAACCATCTATATACAGAAGATTGGCAAAAGAGTTTTGAGCCCTAGTGATTATTTTGTGCAACAAAACTGACTTAAACAATGAAACAAATATTAAATAAGTAGTGTTACAAAGATACTGTTAATGAAATAATTAATTGATTTGAAATATGACATCCCTTAATTTGAAAAAATAAAGGGTTAAATCAATTAATTTTTTCTAGGATTTTTCAATATATATTTTTACTTATAAAAAATATTATAGAGTTTTTATAAAAAATTGATTTCTTGTCTTGGAGAATATTACTTTTTAAATCCATATGATATATTATTGTGAATAAGATAAGAGAAATTTAAACGACATAACTTCTATTCAATCAAAAAATGTATTCTCTTAAGTTGTGAAAAAGATCATATGCTATACATTTGAACAACAAGATCTTTTTCTATGTTTCAATCTAAAAGTTAAAATGAAAAATAATTTAAATTGTTTTCAAGTGAATTATTTACATCAATCTACTTCATTCAATATTATGATGCTAACATTAAAAATATTCTTTAATAAAAAATTGTAGCAATAAAACACATAAAAAATTCATATATAATCAATTGCTTCCATTCTTACAATTTTAATTTTACAAGTTATCTTAAGTCATAAAAATTAACGTAACTGAAAAAAAATTTAATTTATTTAAATAAATAATTATATTAAGATTTATATTATTCACAATGCAATTGTAATGAATCTTAAGCTTATCAAAAATTCTCCTCCGTACTAATTTTTTTTTGCTTAAAACAAACTAAATTTTTTTTAATAAGTTTGTAAAAACTATGAAATTCATACGTATTGTACAAGTTACATTATCCATGCATATATTTATTAAAAATATGAATCTACTTGAAAAAAGATCAGTTGGATGCATAATAATGAATATCTTCTAATTTTTTGGGTATTTTTTATAAAATGTAAGATATACATTACACATCATTCAGAGATAATATAAACTACTATTTCAGATTTTTTAATGAAAAATAATTTCATTCATCAATGAAATTATTTTTCACACACATATTTATATTTATATTGATTATATATATCAACATATATTATATAAAAACATGTTGAAAAAATATATTGTAAAATTGAAGTTTTTAAAAATATCATGTTTAAACATATTTATAAACCATAATAATATTGTTTAAATTCTTTGGTAGAATGATGTAATATTTTTTCAATATCTTTCTACTTAATAACCATAGATCATTTTTAAAGGTTAAAAAAATTCATTTTTTAAAATAGAAATTAAATTACGGAATATGTTAAAAAAAGTGCTTTTTAATCAAAACATATGTAGTATAGACGTTAGTGAAATTTTATTAACCATTAAAATATACTTATGTCTCAAATAAAATCACATGCTATATTTTCAATTCATACTTTCAAATCAAGAATCACGAAGATAATTCTGATTAGTTATTTCAAAATTAACAGTTTTTTCATCATATTATTTTCTTTAGATTGATTACTATTTTTAATCAACTATATAATTATTAAAAAATTTCGAAACTTATTGAAATTAAATCTTTAACCTTAAAAAATTCATACTAAATACATTTAATAATATTATGACACATATTTTTATTGTGAACGTAAATTGATATTTATATAGAAAAAAAATCAATAAAAATGTATTAAACTTGATTTTTGTAAAAACGGATAAATTATTTAATTTTAATAAAAAATTTGCACTTTCGGAAATTTGTGTCAATTGTCAAAATCGAAATTGAGTGAGAAATTTAATTAAATACGTCAACATAAAGAAGAATTAATTTATGATTGATTTTGCAAATTATTGCATTATATTTCTGAGAAGCCTGTATTTATTAAATAAATATATTAAAGCTTTAAAATTTTTTTCAAATTTAATGCATTGAAGTGAATGTAAATTTTAAATGGAGCTGTGAGCAATCTCGTGTTTTAGGTGTATAGGAATATAGGAATAAAATATTTTTTGATGTTGTAAAGAAGTAAGAAGTAAAAAGTGGGAAACAAATATTTAATTCAAATTGATTTTAAAAAATATTTGATTTGCTTTACAAAAGTTAAATTTATTAAATTTTTTTACTTCGTATAAGAAAGAAAATGAATAAATGTACTAACTCTAGAGTAATTGTCATGAATGTTTAGAAATCTTTGAATTCAAACTCAATAGAATTCAAATAGATGAAATTACACGGAGTGCAAATACAAGAATAAAAAGATTTAAATGTTAAATAGTAAAGAGTCAAGCATTAATCAAGTTAACCATTGATCATTAGTCATTGATGTTCACGATGACTTTTCATATATGATGTAATAATAATAATAATCATAATCTAGGCTCGAATTGGTAAATTGCTTATTGTACATAATTGCAAAAATTATCTATTCTCAAAGAAGAATGCATCAAAGTTAGTGCATTATGACTCGGAGCTCCATCATGCGGAGAGAATGGAGTATGAAGTAACTGTGTATGGGCCTCGTGTGACCGGTAAGAATATATTTATTGAACAATATATTATAATATATTGTACACAATATATTGTATTGATCGTGACTCCAATAACAAAATATTCTATAGTTGCTTCTTAAAATGAAAATACAATATCAATAACAATACAATATCAATACTATTGTCTTCATTCAAATGAGAGATTTGCTTGATGGTACCCAGTGGAAACTAAATTGTTTGATGGGATCTGCAATGTTTCATTTTACCCCATGATCGGCTATTGTGCAGTGAGAGTGGAAACTAAATTGTTTGATGGGATCCGCAATGTTTCATTTTACCCCATGATCGGCTATTGTGCAGTGAGATTTCTGATTAGGATTAGGGGAACTTCTTCAGACAACTGGTTAGAGAATCATAAGCTCGCGCTTCTCTCTGTAGAGCGATCCAAACCTTCATCCAATTCCAAGGTCTCAATTGTGATTAATATCGATTGTGAGGAAGATGATCTGAGCAAGTAAGTAAGTGAAGCGGAGTAGATGGTCTCAATATGTCTAATTTTCTATATTAGATATTGCAATATATTGTATTGTTTGATCGAAAATACCATATATTGTCTTGAAATGCAATACAAATATATTTTATTGTAATTTCAGAAAAGACAATAGAAAATCAAACAATATTGTTCCGAACTCTGGAGTTGAATCCGGAGAGTGTGCAGGGCGTTGCTCAAAACTGGATCAAGGCCCATTGCGGAGAGTGCAGGGAAGAAGACGGGAGGAAGATCGCTATTTGCGTGTGCATGCGTAATCACAATCATGGAGCCCATGGCCTCGAGGCTTTGAATGAAGATGGTCGATTATGAGCCCTTGGGAGAATCATTCGCGGAACAGTAATATCGACCGTCGATCTTCCATTATCCATACGGACACCACAACCCGCAGGTCGGAGATACTCCTAGGGTCCAGGCAGGGACGCTCCGGTATGAAATCATACTGCCGGTAAGTGCGTTCCAGGTGCCACTACGTTAATGGGTGTGGGTCCTTCTCAACCGGACGGAGGCCCTCTCAACCGGTGGTATCGACTGGGTGACCGGACCTGGAGCCAATGAGGGAACGAGAAGGAGAAAAAGGGGACCTCCATGTTCGAGAATCGGTAGGAAAAGAAGGGGGTTCCGTTGACCCTGACGAGAGCCGTTAAGCCGAGGAGGAGTACTGGAACTCGGGGGCCCGTGCTCGCGTGGCACAGGACCGTTGTGCACAAGAAGATCTGGGCCGTAATGAGCAGGAATTCCACGGTTTGATAGAGCCGACCGTTTGAACGGGTGTTTGGTGATTATTTAGCCGTTTGGGCGAGGGGTCGCTGGACAGCGGAATTGGCCTCGTTCTACCCGTTGGGTCCCATCTTTCATACACTCCCCCCCGGCCCTGCAGCCTCCCATTCACTCATCCACCACTCTCACTCTCCCCTCGACTTCGCAGATCTCGAATCCTCCAGCACCAGCAGCAGCAGTAACTCCTGCGGGGTCTGCCCTTTGTCTTTTATCTGTCTCCCTCTCCTCCTCCTCCTCCCTTCGAACAATCGTTCCAACGGGCATCTGCGCCTCTATTTACTCTTGTAGTTCAATTGTCGAGCTCTTGCAGAAGAGCTGGTTCACTGGCATCGCAATTACGAATGCGCATGAGAGAGGAGAGAGGCAGGCGAGCGGCGGACAGAGCTCATTCGAAGGCGACGAGTGTCTTTGTCGTTGCTGAATGCAGCGCGTGTTGTTGTTGTTGTTGGCAGGCAGGTAGCGAGCTGAATCGCAGCGAAGGTAGAGCGAGGGCGTCAGGGAGTGATCGAGAGAGTGAGAGATAGACACTGAGAGAAAGTGAGAGAGCGAGAGAGGTGACGATTGTAGATGGTAATTTGATCGACGAGCTGATTCTACCACTCCAGGTCTACACGGAGTATGTCAGAAGATTGTTGGGGAGTTTTCGAGAGAGTGTGACATCAGACTTTGGATGACGATAGGACTGTAATTGAGGGAGCAGACGAGTCGCTTGCCGCGTTCCAGCTGAAGGCATCGTCGCATCGTCGCTTCGTCGCCTCGACACTGGAAGGAAGGTGAGCGCGAGTCCGCAGGGAGGAGCAAGAAATTTCGGTACGATTCAGCGTAAAAGACCAATGGCTGGTACCAGAGTCGAGCGGGCCGAGAGGCCAGCGGGCAGGGAGAACATGGCCACCAAGGGCGGCCTGGCAAATGCCCCTCCCGCAGCCAACACTCGGCGGGCGCTGGGCGACATTGGAAATCTGGTGGGTGCCATGGCAGTGCGGTGCCACGTGAGTAAGGATGGCGTAGTGAACCCCGTGAAGCAGGAGGTCGTCACCACCTGGGGCGCAAAGCAGCGGCGCACCGCCGTGGTCGTCACTGCGGAGGTCAAGGCCGAGCCTGTTGTCGAGGAATCGAAGGTCCTCGATGCTGCCAGTGCCAGCGCCAGCGCCGTCGAGGCCGACATTGCTCCTGCTTCGGGGCTGCCTCCTCCGGGCCCCCGCCTCAAAGCCTTCGCCACTCGCGGGCAGCGCACAGCCGCCGTGAAGAAGGTGCCCACTCTGACCGCCACCCTCACGGCTCGCAGTGAAGCTCTGGGCAGGCATGATACGGAAATGCTCGAAGCCGACGAGCAGGTGCCCAACATCGACGAGGCCGACATTGGGAACCAATTGGCCGTCGTCGATTACGTGGAGGATATCTACAGCTTCTATCGTAAAGCCGAGGTACCGCAATCGGTTCCTCCTCCACTTCCTCCGAAATCCGACAATATAAACTCGACTCGTCTAATTGATCACTGAGCTCTGTCTTTCACGATCGCGATTCGGATGACACTGACCATGTTTTTTGTTCGCTGGAATGCATGAGTTGCATTCGTCGCGTGGGTCTCGCCTCTAATTTGGTCGATTCGGGTTCAGGTCCAGAGCTGCGTTGCTCCCGATTACATGACCCGCCAGGCGGATATTAACGATAAGATGAGAGCTATTCTGATCGATTGGCTCATTGAGGTAAACCGATTTGACTGTATTTCTTATTTGATTGGTGCGTTGAACGGATCGTGCGATCGGACATAATCAGCCGATCTCCGATTTCTCTCGATTATAAGATTATATGATATTTATGAACCGTGATCGATAAAATTTCGGGCCGTTTTCGTTCTCAACGGTCGGATTTTGGCTTGTTCCAGGTGCACTTGAAGTTCGGGCTCATGCCAGAAACTCTTTTCTTGACCACGAACCTCATCGACCGCTACCTTTCGACCGAGAGCGTGTCGAGGAAGACGCTGCAGCTCGTCGGAGTCACGGCTATGCTGCTCGCAGCCAAGTACGAGGAGATCATCGCCCCGGAGGTCGAGGCGATCGTTTTCATCTCCGACGACGCGTACACCAGACAGCAAGTGCTGGCCATGGTAAGCGTCCGCTTCGTATTTCAAACTCTCGCCCGATCGAGCACCTCTACTCACGATCAGCTCATTTCTCGGGAAATTGAGAGTCAACTTAAGCTACTCCTCATGGATTACGGGGCTAACATCAGTTCAATCGTGCTAATTGTTCCAGGAAAAGGCAATGCTGAACACTCTCCGCTTCAACTTGACCGTTCCCACCCCGTATGTCTTTATGGTGCGATTTTTGAAGGCTGCGGTCTCGGACAAGCAGGTAAGAACATCATAGAGTGCTATTAAAGTGATAGGACCGATTGCCTTATATTTTGAGTACCCACTCGTCTCCAACCTGCACCGAACTCAAGTTTCTGTCGTCATTCGTGCAGATGGAGCTGCTGGCTTTCTTCCTGGTGGAGCTGTGCCTTACGGAGTACTCGATGGTGAAGTTTCCACCATCGCAGCTGGCAGCAGCCGCAGTGTACACGGCCCATCACACCCTTGGGCGGACACCATGCTGGACCCCGAGTTTGGTCCGTCATTCCGGCTACGCAGAAGCTCAGCTCAAGTAAGCAAGCAGGCTGAAGAGGTGTTTTCTGCAGATAGCAAATGCGATTGAATGTTATCGACGAAAATTAGCCGACGAATATTTACTGATCGAAATTAATCGAAATCTTTATTTGCGTTAATGCAGGGACTGCTCGAACATGATGGTGGGATTCCACCGCAAGGCTGCCGAAGGCAAGCTCCTTGTCGTGCACAAGAAATACTCGAGCTCGAAGTTCCAGTCTGTGGCGACTCTGGCGCCCGCGGTGATCTCCGCTGACGGCGAGTTGGAGAGCCCCGCGAGCAACGCTTGAAGGGATGCGATGGGATCGGACCCGATCGATCGGCGGGGAGCTGAGAACCCAGCGTAGGAAAAGTAGGACGAATTGTGCGAGTTGAGCTGAGAAAATTCAGCTGTTGCGCGAAAACGATGTAAAGATGGTTGGTTGTCGGGTGGGGGCGGATATCGGCGAGGAATTTCAACTTGTTGCGTTGATATCCCATCTAGATTGATCCGTGGGTTGGGACCCGTCCGACGAACGGATGCCTTGTAATATATATTTCATGTCACGGCCACCATGATTATTTTGATTACCGATCGAAAGCCAGGGGGTGCAACCTCCTTCTCGTCGCTGGACCGACGGCGCCCGGCTCGGGGCACGGCCGGACGGGAGAGAAGATTAGAGACGAGTAGAGAAGATTGTCGGTGCGAAGAGCTTCGCTGGGGGCGCTCCCTTCATTGAACACATATTCGATTGAGCCGCAGGAGGACAGAATTCTGGAACCCCTCAGCTTTTTCCATCTAGGAGGTAGATTTTAGGCTTTCACAGGCGACGATAGTAGCTGTAGTTGGAACGGTCTCCCAGCGCCCTGCATTCCAGAAACTGGATGTGGCGGTGTACTTTCAAGAAAACATGACGACGCGAGAGAGCTTGGCATATATTTCGGAACATTTATTCCAATAAAGTTCTTTGTTGAGAATTTGTTGTTTCACATAACACTCGTAAAGTTATCCTGAATCTTGTTTCTATGTCTTCACTTTCTAGTGAGCATATCCTTAAGCCCTGAACCCTTTTTGACCCCCTCCCCACCTCCCGGTGCTGACGCAGAGGACCGATCGATCGATCGACCAACGTTCATTGCAACGGTCATGGCAGGGGCATGAACGTGTACGTAACGCATATTATTCAAACACAATGGAAATCCCGTCACCACGAGCTGGAATGCGGAAAGTCGCATGACCGTTAATTACAACATGTGCTAAATTCGTCTAAGTTAAGCATATGATCCGCGTTATGTACAGCAAGTACGAGTACAAAGTTGCAGATAGTCTTCTGCGGCAACCTTGTGGCCATGACCAGCAAGTTGCGAGTGAAAGTTGGTTTATGACAAAAGCCCCAACCGTCGACACTTCTCACCGTTCGGATCCAAGGGCCGTTGAAGTTATGAGATACGACTGAAACTTTGACGACTGACCGAAAAATTGAAAATATAGTCGTTCCTCCTCACAGAACATGCAAACCCACGTAAGGTGGAGACGGAATACGTTACCCACTTTACGAACACTTCCGACAGCTGAAGGTGCGAGGGAAGTAACGCCGTAACATACCCCTCCCCTGCCATATAAACAGCGAGAAGGCCATCGATCGTAAAGTTTAACATCTACAGACACGTGAACGGACGGACATAACAACGTCATCAAATATAATGATCTGACGACCAGATGGGAAACTTGGAGGAGAATAAACATCACAATCCATAATTCGATGCGCCAAAACAAGTATGTATAAATTAACCACTTCTCCCCATCCCACTCCATTGAAATATTCCTCGCTAGATATAAATATTACAATTAATGCAAAAATCAGATGCCAAAGAAGCACGGCCAAGTTGCATCGTACCAGTTCGATCATCGAATGTAAACGGGCGTGGCGCCCCGGGATTATCCAGCTCCTGGATTTCATGCGAAGGACGTGCGATGTATTTTTGTGGGGCTCGAGCTCACTTTCCACGGCGGTCGCACGAACGGGCTCGGCCATCTTCCCCACGCCGTCCGAAGGGGAGGAGGAGTGGTCGCAAAACAGATCACAACGTGCACTTTTACTCGTTGCTTCCTCTGGACCGGTAAATTCCGTTGGGCCTCAGGGACTTGAGCCGCGAGGCGGTGGGTCCGAAAATCTGCGTTGCCTACCACTTGGAACTTTGGCTGGATTTGGATAGGGCCCAAATTGCCCTTGCGGAGGTTCGTCGAGAAGTTGACTGCATGCGAATTGTGCTCGATTTGAATTCACCAATCCTCCGGATGACGTGCTGTGGTGCTGAGCCTTCGGATGCTCGTGCTCGGGAATGTGGGAAGTCCTGCTCTTCATCGCAATTTGAAAAGTCATGAAGATGTGATTAGTGCGAAGTCTGACGCAATTTCTGAAATTGGAGAGAATTGCTACAGACGGGAACCTTCCCCGCGCTCTTTTCCTGTGTTTTGGATTGAGGTGAGAAGCGATTATCCGTCTGGCTGAGCATTTGAGGCAGCCTCGTCTGCAGGGTTCCAGCCAAATTTCGTTGACTCGACGTTTTCCTATTTCGATGTCCGAATCGAAGTTGGAATTTCTTCCCAGTTTTTTCCATTCTTCCGGTTTCGAGCTAAAATTGATCTTCCTATTTCGATGTCCGGATCGAAATTGGAATTTCTTCCCAGTTTTTTTCAGTCTTCCTATTTCGAGCTAAAATTGGTCTTGTGATCACGTCGGTGATCTCCATTGATGGACAATTGTTATTGCTTATCTGTTTGCATTGCATCTCTTCTAGACAGTGAAATGCAGCCGAAAATCGGGCCCAGTTTTCAATGCTAATGAGTAGCTGTGAAAAATTCGAATGGCGTCTCTGAATCCGGTGGCATTTTAATTCTTCGAGAACCAGTTGTTTGTCAACTTTGAATCGGCGTTCTGAATTTCACGGAACAGGATTCAGGTCAATGTCAGCTTTTAATCTGATGAACTTCGATTGGATGGTTCGCTCATTGGACGCACATTGCCCTTGAATCCTGAGGTTTTGAATTTGAAGATTAGGTAGCTCTGACCATTTCTGGTCCTATTCTGAGTGTGTTGATGACTGGATTGTTGGAACAGAGTCCGTTTCTGGGTATAGTGATACAGCATTCTGCAGACATCAAATGTCAACCTGCTCACCGGGCTGGTCAGGGTAGCGATTGTGGTACAAGATTGATATTGTTCGTCAAGTTTATCATTACTCCAACAAGGGGCGATGGGTCCTGTACATGAACCCCCGACGATAAGCGAGATCATGTACAAGGTATGGACTTATTTTGAGGTAGTTCGAAGAATTCTTTCATAGCGAGGCAAAGACTGTTAACAATTGTCAGACTGGTGCTCTAAGCTGAGATTTAGCTCGATTGTATCTCTTTAAATCGTGTTGAGGTTGTGGATTCGCTTCGTTCTTCACAGGCCATAGCAGAGCGTGCATTTCCTGGAGGAGCAGTGGCGTTTGGGTCCTGCACTGTCCCTTTCTACTATCGAGGTTAGTGATTTTCATGCTGTGTATGGTCTCTCCTCATATCTTTCCATGATGTTTTCAGGGTCATGAAAGCCGCGTTGACCTTAAAAGTACTCTGCTATGTTTGTGTGGATATTTTATGGAACAGTACATTTACATGCGGTCTTTGAAATGACATCATTATGGACGTCAGTGTTGTTAAGGATCCTTTCAAGTCTTTACAAATTTTTCATTAACATGGTTTTACTTGGTTATGCGGACATTGCCTATCCTTTGCTGGATCGAACAGCCTTTGGAACCTACACATAGTGAGTAGTTTTTATTCCAGTTGTTTCGGTGTTTCAAATGATTTCCTTGCGAGCTAATTGCCAACTTTGTTCATTTGACTAAATTTCGTTCCTGCTGCCAGTCTACTTCAATCATTTGAGGCTGACCATTCGTTCGGATATATATGCAGCGAATCCAGCATACAAGTCACCCCGGAGTCGTTGTGGGACCTTGCTTCTCTTACTAAGGTAGGCCAGGGTTCGGGCACTCTGTGATGTGATGTGATAGGTACAGAAGGAGAGCTGGTTATGGTATTAAGCTTGTTTCATGTATCTGTCATTTTCTGATGTTTCCTTTGAGACCTTCGCTGCTTACAAGGAAGTAGTTGTGGGGTGCACCAAAGAGAATGATAACTCATGTTTCTGTCTTCGCTGTAGATTATGGTTACAACACCATGCATCATGCTCCTGTATGACCGAGGACTGATAGGTATCGTCGCCATAGCTTTCAAATTCGAGATGCGAGCGGGATGTATCTTCCTGACTTTAGAGTTAGGCTTATTGCATATGTTTCTCATTAGCAGCTTGAGGTAGATGGTGGGCATCATGGTACTTTTTTTCTCGATCTGTCCCATATCTTTGTGCACCATAGTATTAGACCAAAATTTCTGTGCAGAGTGTTGGCATTGAATTTTGATCAGTTTCGTGAAACCACATGCGTAGTTTTTGACACATGCGGTTGTTCTGTGTATATTTGGGGCAGTAAATGTTTTTAAGTAAATGTTCGTGCCATGCTTTTTACTCTCAGAGCTGGAGGAAGTAGCTTGCAAGTACTTGCCAGAATTTGGCACCAATGGAAAGGAGCTCGTTACCATCCATCAGCTTCTGACTCATACAGCAGGTCTTCGGGAGTTTTATTCCTTTTTCGATATGGGTCTAACGACCAAGAAGCAGGTACTCGGAGCTTTTAGTTCTTTGGTTGAAGCTTCGGTTTGCTTTCACAAAATTGATCTCCAACGTCCTCATTTAGAGTAGTAGAGAACGATGTCAACAGCAAAAAGAGTATGCTTGCACTGTAAGTTCCAGTCTTCATAAATTCAAGTATATTGCTCTATCTGGTGTTTCAGGTGCTAGAGTACATACTAAATGATAAACTTTGGTACACTGCTGGAGAGATGGCTCGTTACAGCGATATATCCATGATTGTTTTGGGGCTGATAGTAGAAAGAATATCAGGACTTCCTCTTGATAAGTTTGCATCAGAGGAAATCTTTCAGCCTGTAAGTCTAAACTCATGACTTTGCAAACCGTATCATAGCTGTCAGTGTAGAGCGTAGAAGCATGTGTAGAAGCAAAACTGCATAGCTGCTGAGCAAATAATCGATTTATTCAGTCTCTTGAATTTCACAAGTTAGCTTCTAATTAGTCGTCAGATTTCTTTGAGATGGAGAATTGCGTCTTTGTTTGAAGACATAGAAAGGATTGAGATATGTTAGTTAACTTATCTTGAAACGCTTTGTATTCGATATTTTCGTACGAGGTATAGCTTGGTATGCGGCACACTACCTTCCGACCAGTCGAGCTCACAGACTTTGATGTCATGGTTGTTCCTACTGAGGTGGATCGTCTACATCGAAATCGTCTTCTTTGGGGTGAAGGTATCTTGTTCGTCGTATCCCAGCTGCCGACAGGGCTTCAGCTTGCTTTCATCAAGTTGAAAGAAAATATTCGTGCATATTGCGTTTACTCCTAGTGGTGTGTGTATCGCAGTTCATGATCCAACGGCTTTCCTGCTTGGAGGTGTGGCTGGCCATGCAGGTCTTTTCTCTTCAATCATTGATGTCTGTAGGGTACTACTGCTCATCACCTGCCAAATTTGAAATAAAACTTTTGTCTCCGTTTCTCAATTTAACTGACACTTCCTTCATGCAGATGTTTGTAGTTTCTTTCTGTTGCGTCCATTCTCTTTGCGCATTTTTCTAATGCAAATTCCACAATGAATTCCCTGGACCAGTTTGCACAGATGATGCTTGCAGGGGGCATGGACCTGATCACAAATCGGCGTCTGTTCAAAGAAAGTACCGTGCGCCTATTCATCACACCAAACCTGAAAACGGCTAGCAACCCTCGCCCATTTGCTCTAGGGTATTGGACAGAGTTCACCCTGCCCATGTGAAACAAACTCCTTTCATTGTGAGGTAGTAAGTGCTAAGCTTGATGAATACCTCGTCTTCTCTATGACAGATGGGATGTCTCTGTGAGGAGAGCACTCGATGGTTATCAATCAGCAGGTCAATACCTGCTACCCCGAACCTTCGGTCATACTGGATTCACAGGTGCCCACCATGACCTTGAGGCTGAAACCTCTATCCCCCTGGTTGATTCAGATTTGTTGCTGTCTATTCTGGGTGTTGACTTGGTATGAATTAATTCTATATCCTATTGTTTTAGCACGGATTCCTTCTGTAAACACCTCAAGTACTTTGGAGGTTAGCTCGTATGCAGTTTCAATTCTCAGTGAACGATGTGTGGTTTTCCTGCAGGAACGTCTCTGTGGATGGATCCGGATCGCGATCTTTTCGTCGCTCTATTGACAAATGCAGTTCATCCTTCAGCGGTATGTTGCTTATGATTTTTCACCTTCCTGCCGAGAACTCCAAATTCAGGTTACCTGCCTTGCTTGGTCAAACTTTCATGAGGTAGATAAAGCATACTTATAAACGAATGTTTGTTGCGATGCAACAGATTGTCGGCTTCGGATCGAAGGTACGGAAAGTGAGACCTTTGATTGCAGACGCAGCAGTTTACACAATGGAACAACAAGCAATTCCCAGAGGATCACTGAGCTGGCAGCTCGAAAGCAGTGATGGGGACGTCATTGGTGAGAATCTCATTCATCCAGCAGCAGCAACTTACTCCAGCCAACAAGCTGGCATGCCAACAAAACAACACTATAACCATGATCTGACGAGTACAGCTGCGATAGGAAAACACATGTCAGTGGAGACTGCACTCACCCTGCACAGGCAAGAACCAGCTAATAATGTGGAATCGTCTTCTAGCCAGTTTTCTGAGAAAGTTATTTCCACAAGGTCGCAAGAATTTGAAGAAGCTGTGGTCTCAAAAAGAACAGGCGTCCAGGTGTTGCTACCAGTTTTCATATTTTCCCTGGTCGTAAGTTTCCTATCCTGAGAAGATGGTACAAAAGCGTTCATATTTGGACATCAAGTTTTGGCCGGAGGGATAGAGCAGTGTTTCTAACGTCGTCCCTCCAACAAGCACCAGGAGACACGGAAAAGTACAGGCACTTTTCCGTGTCTCCTGGTGAAGAGTATGAGAAGTACAACGAGGCTATGTAACTGTTTGGCAAGTATGGCAACCGAATTTAGTCACCGTTTGTCATCTGATGTAATTAGCTCTTGTATAATAGGGAAAAGATTTGTGAGGGAATCTTTGTAACCAGGAAGAATGCTTAACCAGGAGATTGCACAAATGGTACGAGAATCCGTCTGGACATCATCGTGGTTGACAACCCACCGTGGCAATGAGTTGTTTTTTCTCATGTCCTGAAGTTCCTCATTCTTTATTGATCGATGAGTCGATAGCGTGCGCGAATAGTCCCGTCAAAGTTTGTGTTGTAGTGCATCACCTCCAGAGATGTGGACTTCGTGTGTAATGAATGGGTCGATGATCCCTATTTCTAGAAGAACTCAGAGTCGGGTTGTAGCTTAACTGCGTCCAGTCAGTCCGGGATTGGATGGATGACCGGAATGCTCATGACAAAATTTGAACGATTGGATGCAACATTGTCAGATTTTTTGTGTCATTGCTGTACTAAATGGTAAAGAGATCAAGCCCGGCGTGACCCAAGGTCAAAATGTGGATCAACACTTTACAAATCAAACATTCAATGGCAAGTGAAAATATCCTAAAGACTTATTCTAGCTGGTGGGTAGAGCACGAGAAAGATGACCACTGACGTCCATAGTATAACTTATTGAATCCTAAGGATTAGATGTAATGAAGTATAGAAATTCTCCACATCTATTCTAATCTCTTCTTACTTTGTACTTTGTCACAAACACATGCTCTTCATATTCAATATTTCTTCCCATGACATGCTATCGATATCATATATATTATATATATTATTCATTGTACTTCTTCAATTTCTTGCCCATGAAACCCCATTCTATATCGTGAGATAATATGACATAAGAACGTGGGAGATTATATGACATAAGAATGTGGATATCTCTCTTGTTCACAATATTCAAGCTTGACATAACCTACAAATTTGTTAACTCATATCAATATTTATTCGTAGTACTTCCTCAAATACTAATCTATGAGATCCAGTACTATGTCGTGAGATAATATGACATAATAACGTGATAATATTTCATAATAATGTGGTGATTCCCACAAGTAGGAACTCTTGTTCACATTATTCAAGCATAGAATTAACATGAAGTTGATAAAATTGCATTCTCACTAATCTGCTTCAAATAATGTTGAAAAATTGCTCCTATATATTCTTGCGGAGCAACTTTGTTGCAAGTCTTAATTGTGTTCCGTCACATTACTTTGAAGAACAATTCACCGCATTTGATAACCATACTATGTAACGTGTGGCTCACAAAGCTTGATGAGGAAAGCAAAAAGCATCAAGAATTCTCATACTTCTAATGTAAGTGATGACCAAATAAAGACCTTAAGTCTCTAGAGGAAGAAAATTTATTTATGCAAGAAGAATTATCTAAGTACTTTGGTTTCTTACATCCAATTTTTCTTGTAGAAAGATCTTTTGCAAACTATGCTCGTGCTCCTTAATTATCTTCTTAAAATCAAAATCCCACACTCGGATTTCATATGATCACCGAAAACATTAAACTCTTTAATAAAAATTAACTAAGACCCTTAGACTAAAATCTTAGAGAAGAATTTACCAAGACACTTACACACAAGATGAGGTCTTCTAAAATGATTTAACAATGAATATAAATTTTTGTAACCAGCTTCTACTCTCTTTTGCATGCACAATGTTCAACTATAGTCATTAAAAAACTTTAAGGAGTAGATATTTATAACTTTTCACTTATTCTAATTGTAGATGTTTGTAAAAGAATAGGAATTTGGATCTAATGCCCACTATTAATGACTTTAGACTTCTCCATACTAACTTTTTTCGAGACAAAAAACCTTGTCAAAGTGCCTCTTTGTTTTTGTAAACTAATGTAAGCATGTCTTAGTAATATGATATCATCTTCATACATTAGAGTTTTGATGACAAAGTGCTTAAGATTGAAATCTTCATTATCATCTTCTTTCAATACTTTTTGATATCATCTATGAAAACTCCAAATAGAATTAGAGATAATATAATCTCGTAGGACTCCAATAATAGTGAAGATCTCTTGAGTTTATAAATCATTGATGTTGGTATAGATTGAATGGTATAATGTGACTAAGACTACTAGAAGATTTGATGATACTCCCATGACTTGCAACCTCTTTCATAAAAGCTTACGAGGTACAATGTCAAATTGTTTTTTGAAATTGATGAAACCGCAAAATAAAACTTTTGCATTGTGCTTAGATTTTGTTCCTAAAACACACACAGCCAAATTATGATAAATGATGTTGTATGAAGCGAAAGACAAGCTTGAATCCACACTTTTTTTAAAAAGCACTGTCCATATGCTCAACTTGAACTCCATCAATTTTTCAAACAATTGGAAAAAATTTCTACCCACCGTGATAATGTGATGATTTTTCATCAAGAATTTCTTTCACGATTTGTGAATAGAAACAATCTTCTTCTGTAGGTAGCAAGTTGAAGACTTGTACCTACAAAAAATTGCAGCATCTTTCAATACTTTGATGAAAATTGGTCCAATACAGTCTACTTTCCACTTGAAAAGTTTGATAAAAGATCAATCAAATCTTCATATTCATCATTTGCTAAACTTTTTTATTAAGTCATAGTTTATATATATAATCTACTATATAGTCTTTGCTTTAGTGAATAAGGCACTTATTTCTTCACAACGTGACATAGATGTAGCATCGAGAAGTAACAAAGCGTTTGGACAAAATATATCAAGAATTGGGGTCAAAAGTAGGATTAGAAGATTATTTTATTAACCGTCTCTAGAATAATTTGGGATCCTTCAACAACTCCCTTGTCATGGGTTCTTGCTTCCGACACAAAAAGTTTCAATTTTTAAACTTCATCAAATCATTGTGAAGTCTTGTCATAATAAGTTGACTTTGGATATTCAAGATTTATCAACTAATCTCGCCCTTGCTTGCATTCAAAGTCAAATGAAACATTACAAGGTAAATTTATAGCGTTCTTGTTCCTATGGTAAAAAATAAATTTAGATGCAATGTTTTTGATCAATTTGGATATAGTTACATATATAGTCGTGACATAAGTGATTCTTGTGATAATTAGGTAAGGAATAAGTGTGTTAGTTAATACCACCACGACAGTAATCCGTGTCCTTGTTAGGATTAGGAATCATCCACTATGTCATCAATCTAGTAGAAGTGATATGGATGTTGGAGATGAGATTTGATCTTTTTGAACTTGTTGGTACGGTACAAAGAGATCAAATCTCATCCCCAACATCCATATCACTTCTACTCAAGGTATTTCTCATCTTCAGAATTGTGTTCCATCTTCAAGTGAGATTCTCTCTTGAAACCTAATGTCACAATGCTATTTGAGTTATTTTGCTCTTTCATTGAATGTGTATTACCCCTTATTGAATAGCTGTAATGACAGACAAATACCAAAATGGAGCATAATGGTACAGATCCGATCCCACGAGGACAGAAACAACCACAAAAGTCACGATTTGTCACAAATTAGCATTCTATTAAGGAGTTTTACTTCTTAGACCAATGCCACTCCCAGAAGACACTACATAGCTAAAGCCGAAGACCCGCAGAGTAATGCGTAACCACACTTACAGCATGAATCTTTTCCGATCAACACCTGTAGGAATCGCTTCCGACCCCACACTCATATTTCAGTGGAAAAATTTCCCAGCCTTGCATACATCCCGAATACTCAGACTTGAATTTGCTTAAATCCCAAGGAGCACTCGGCTACTCAGAACATTCAAGCTGAATACACACAACTTCCGATGCGGTAACTTCGACAAACAGAAGCGCACTGTGCTCGATGTCTGGATCCCACACAAGCACACATACACACACTGGATGCAGGTTTACAGTCAAGACAAGCCAATTGACAAAAAAGCTCTCAAAGGAGAGAGCCTTGAGCCTCTTTATTCACAATGGCAACTTTGGAATATCAACCGCCCGAGGCGAATCGGTCTAAGGGGCTGTGCCGTCCGATGTAGCGGTTACGGTGTCATCTGAACTTACATCTACTCCTATACTACGCAACACATTTACAATCTCTACTTCTAGATTCTAGCGCGCCTCATTCAATCCCTCTGAAAACATATTATCTAGCTTTACAATCTGTTTGTGTCATGCGGATCCGCTGGTCTTGGCGCTCATCAACCGTCGCTCGAGCGAATCTAGCTTCAACCACTTCACCATTTGCAATCTTCACATTGCGAATCTATTAAGACACTTCTTCAAACGCAACTTCAACTCGTCGGTTGACTCGTCCCGTAGTTGACGGTAGGCCTCCTTTGCCTTCTCCATTCTCCGTTGCGACTCCTGCAATCTCATGTCCGCCTTGCCTAATTGCTCCCGCAACCGTCGACAATCCGATTCAACCGTCAATTTACATTCGACCTCCGAACACTTGGCTGATTCACAATCCGCAAATTTCTTGGCCCAATTCGCTAACTCCTCCTCATGCTTCTGGATTCCCTCCGCCAAACTCGCTGATAGCTACTCCGCACGTTGGCCTTCCATCTCACACTTACCCGCAATCTCCGAAATCTTGCTACGAAGATCTTCTTCCGCCGTCTTCGCCTCTGCGATCTTGCCCCGAAGTTCTTTGGCAATACGAACTTCTTCGGCTCTTCGGACCTCCAACTCAGCAAGTTCTTCGACATGATTCTTCTCTCGTCTTTCCGCAGTTACGATCAATCGTTCCGATCGTTTGACTGCCTCATCGTACGCTTCTCTGGATTTCTCCAACCTCGCGAGCAAATCCACTGTTATCTTTTGTGCATTCTCATTAGAGACACGAAGTCCGCCACATGTCTCTTCTAACTCTGCACATCGTCCGGATTCCTTCGCCAAGTTCGATTGCAGTACTTTGCACTCAATCTCCTTCTCTCAAAGCTGGGCTTCTCGCTCCTTCAATGCCGTCTTTGCTACCGCATACTCGGTTGACAAGCTTGCAGCTCGCTCCCGTGCCAATTCAGTCGCGGAATCCCACTCCCTCTTCACCGCTTCTGCTCTCTTGAGCTGCGTTCTATTTCTCATCATCTCTACATAAAATCCTACCTCCTTGGACACAGCATACTTCTTTTTCTTCCTATCCAGATATTTCAGTAGTGGAACTACACTGTCTTGTAAGAAGTCGGAATTTGTGAT